ATAGTTAAAGCGTGGTACCCTACTAGAGATGGCATGCCCAGCTCTTCAGTATTGTGCAGGGATCTGATGCATTTCGCTTTGGTAAGCCTTCTACCATCTCATATTCCCGCTGTGGGTGAGATGAGATGCTGTGCAGTTAAGGAGGATGGTTTTTTCCCTCATGTTTGTTGACATTTTCCCAGTACCTTCTAAGGAGCAGCTGATTGTCATTATTCCCCTTTTGGTGTGTTCTAGTCAGTGACTATTTTGTTGGCAAAATGCCTCCAGTTCATGTTATTTTTTTTTTTTTTAAGATTGTATTTATATATTTGATGGAGAGAGACACCGAGAGTAGGAACACAAGCAGGGCGAATGGAAGAGGGAGAAGCAGGCTTTCCTGCTGAGCAGGGAGCCCCATGCAGGGTTCGATCCCAGGACCCCGGGATCATGATCTGAGCCAAAGGCAGATGCCTAATGTCCCAGGCATCCCGAATTCATGTTATTTTGACTGTGGACACACTTTTAAAAGATATATATAAATCTGTACGTGTATACACAATTTCTGTCAACACCAAGAACTGGGATGCTAATATTTACGGAGCTTTGGCTTTCTTAAAGACACTGTGCTGAATGCATTCCGTGGATTGTCTCACTCACCCATACCACACTCCATAGATCTGGGAGTTAGTGCCTTATCCTCACTTAGCAGGTACCACACCGAGGCTCATAGAGTGGAGGGAACATTGTTCACAGCCATACAAGTGAGAAAGCCTGCTGTTGGTCTTCATTCAAAGTGGGCTTAACTCCAGAGTGGTGGCACTGAATCTCTTTGCTGTTGCATTAGTGACTTCTAATTGGGAATTTGCAGATTAGCAATTCCTGTAATTCACTGGGTTCTGGAAACATCCACCATTTTTTAAATTCTAACAGTGTTGTGGGGAACAGCAAAATATCTTTAGGGCACTGGTTCGCAAACGTACGTGAACTTTGCAATTATCTGGAAGTTAGAAAAAATAAAACCGGTGCCTGGGTCCCACCCTCGTCTGTTCTGAGTTAATCAGTATGATTGTGGCCAGGACATTGGGATTTAAAAAATTCTCCCAGGTGATTCTAATGGGCAGCCAACTTTAAGAATTCCTGCTTTGAAACAACACAGTTTTAGGTTCTGAATTCCCATCCTTATGTTAGTTAAAAAATAAAAAATAAATAATTATGTTTCATCACAATAGTACAACAAATTTGCTTTAGAAACCATAGACAAACCCAAAACATTATAATTATCTGTAATCCCTTCACTAAAAGACGACCAGTCCAGTATTTGTGTTTTTTTCATATGCATGTTTAAGTACTTAAAGTCTTCACTATAATATTACCCATCTATAGAATTTTATATATTTAATGCCAGATTGTCTCCTGTTTTATGTATCTGTATGCTTTATCAGACTGAGAAATTCTCGATTCTTATACACATGTATTAGTGTTGTTGGATTAATACTTACAGGCCAGTAACTCTCCAAATGGGTCTGTATGTCTATTAATGGAGAGTTTGGATATTATTTGAGTCAGCATTTAGGAAACTGATTTAGATGTCTCTCCTTTGTGCTCATCTTCTACAGCTCTTTTTCGGACAAGCAAACCTTGGTTTACTTCCCTGTCTCTCTTCTAGATTACTGAGACAAAGCCCCTGTGGTTTGTGGCCTCGGGCTCTGGCATACCATACATGCTCAGGAAACGCTGGAGTTTTCAGAATCTGAGGTCGAAGTGATGGTTATAGTCCGAAAACTAATGACTGAAATAAGTTCAGATGTGCCTGAAAAAAATTTTGGGGGGCTGTTGGGGTGGTGGAGAGAGAGGGTAAGAGTAAGGTCGAGATAAGGACAGGGGCTAGAGGACACTTGAAGATAGGTAAGCGGCAGATCCTTCAAGAAAGGTAAAAAGTAAAAAAATAAAATAAAATAAAAAGAAAGGAAGAAAGGCAAAAAGTCCTCTAGACTTCCTGGCCTTGGTTCCACTACCCCCCTGCCCCTGCCCCTGCCCCTGCCCCTGCCCCTGCCCCTGCCGAGTCTCAGAGAGCTCTCCCTGGGACTAGCGCCCTCCCCACACCTCTTATCTTTCCACTCCCCACCCTACTCAGCTGTCATAATAAAAAGGCTGAGTATATTGATACTTTAAGAATAAGAACCAAATAATTTCCAGAGTTTGCTGCTTCCCAAATATTTTCCTAGTAAAGATTTGGATGAGAATCCACTGTAGTGTGATGGGGTTCAGTTAGGGTACAACTGAAGCTTATCAGCTAACAACTGTGACTGTCCCATTTTTTTCCTACAAAGGTGGAGGTTGAGGGAGAATTTAAATAAAAAGTGTGGAGAGGGCTCAGAGCTTTGGTAGGCTGGTTTGAGATTACCCCAGAAGAAAGGGCCAAACTGGGAGACCTTACAGGTTTACTTGGTGAACAGCCTTGTCATCAACTGGGCCCAGATAACTTCAGGCTGCTGGAGGAGGTATTTTTGAAGATTTTATTTATTTATTTGACAGAGAGAGAGAGAGAGAGAGATCATGAGTAGGCAGAGCAGCAGGCAGAGAGAGAGGGGGAAGCAGGCTCCCTGCTGAGCAGAGAGCCCGTTGTGGGGCTCCATGTAGGGCTCGATCCCAGGACCCTGAGATCATGAGCCGAGCCAAAGGCAGAGGCTTAACCCAGTCAGCCACCCAGGTGCTCCTGGAGGACATATTTTTGATACTGAAGCCACAAAGCCAGACATCTCTGCATCACAGGGTTTACAAAGGATTTTCTTTTTCATACAGACTTCTTATAATGTAACTATAATCAGTAGATTTCTTAATCATGCTCAATCACAAGACTGGTAAATCAAAATTACTTATAAGTTCTTTTTGGCTCTTAAAACACCTTTTGTGTTATGATCTTTATTTGCTTATTATTGACCACTTTTTAAAGCATGTTTTTGTTAAAAAGGAGAAATTGCAAAAGTACACCTTTTACTTCCTTAGCAAATAAGGTGCATGCATGATTTATGTTGCTGAATTTTTTTAGGATTAAGGCATTTATATAGTTCCAAAAGCTATAAGAAAAATTCAAAGCTATTTCCCTATTTTTCTTTCTCCTCTTCTTATTGAATTCACGGTGACTTTTAAAGAACATAAAGGCATTTAAGATAGTTAAAACCATCAGACATCCTGCTTTACTTCGAATTCAATGATAAACAAAATCAAAGAATAAAATAACAAGCCTGATTTATTTATCTGAATAATGTTTGTCTCACTATAAGGTTATAATGAAAGCAGGGGAATCCTTAGAGTTATGTAGTATAGCAAATTATAAATAAATAAATAAATTTATAAATAAATAAATAAATAAATAAATAAATAAAAGATGCTAGCGGTGATATTTATTCAGATAAGTATCAGATTTATTCAGTCAGTCCAGTGAAACTGGGAGGTTTCTGGAATGCCCGGCCGGTCGTCAGAGCCAGGAGAGTATTATGATTTAATGGTGTCTTTTCTGCTGCATTTGATGAGCTGTCCTAGAAAAACATTTGAAGCAATAAAGTATCCATTTGGCTCCTAAGTAATGAGGGAGGCAGTGCTCTTTCATTAACTATTTATTCAGGAAGAAAAGTGACCAACTGCTAATAAGCTTTATCCAAAGAGGGTGGCGGAAAACAGGAGAAAATGCAGAAGTGAGGTTCTGTTCAATTTCATATGCAATTAACAAACACCCAAAGCTAAGCGGTTGGTGCTCCTCCTCCATGTGACTTCTGGCTGGCTGTATTTAAGTGCGAGTGCCTGTCAGATGCATGAAAGGCCCCTGGGTTTAAGGAAGGATTGTGCCGTCTACACCAAAGACCAAAAGAAAGGAGGCAATGAGCGGTGAGTAGCTAAGAGGGGGCTGATCTCTGTAGTTCTGAATAATGGGCTTATTTCCTAAGATGAGCAGTAGTAATTGAGGCTTGCAGGGTTGCTCCTTTTGTTTTTAGATGATTACTGCTTTTTTAGGACTTCAGACATCTGCTCCATAATGCAATATGTAGACGATCACTTGATCGAATGGCTTCTAATTTGAGAAATTTCTTATTGGCTATGTAAGTAAGTATATGATTTGTTATTTAGAGAGAGTTTCGAGGTAGGCATGTAAAGTTTGCTCGTCTTCCACAGGTAAATATAGGGCCCCTTCTTTGCAGTGAATGCGTAGGATTTAGCAACTTCAGGATTACACCGAGAATACTGTATTCACACATAAATAGAGGCTCCTTTCAAGTCATTTCAGAATCTCACTTTTGAAGCACAATCTTCATTTCACTTACTTAAGCCTTTTAATACCATAAATATACATTCTTTAGTGACATGATGAAAAGATGAAAGTCACAGTTATTTTCTTCCCTTAAAGCCAACTGAAGGACTTTTACGTTAATTCTTCTGCCCTGCTCTCACTAAAAAGTAGTAGTAGTTCTATTCGATGGGGGAAATATCCTTCCTATTTAAATCCTATTAAAATAGACAACGGAAAGGATATGTAAATCCAGCATTATTTAATAACAGAAATTCCTGATATTATCACAAACTGATTATGAATTATTCAATATTGCATTCCTTTGGTTTTCAGTTTTTTTAATTTCCATATTGAAAACTGTGTCTGAATTCTAAGCTTACTATGAATTATTCTGAAGTATATTTAAGAATCAGTTTTCAACATACATTCCATGAGATAGGAGTACATTGTTTATTTGTGTTCATAGCCTTTTGTACTGGGCGAAAAAAAGCCTAAGTAAGGAGCAATGATATTAAAGACAAGAAACGCCTCCTTGGAATTTTTCTTTCCTAGACCCCATTGTATCGTACTTAGAGAACTAAACTCTTTTATGTTACAGAGACTCTTACTGTCTTCATCAAGGAAATGAGGACTCCAAGATTAGAAATGGAATTTCCTCATACGATTGATTGCTAGGTTTTACAATAATCTGTCTTGTTGGTTATTAACAATCATTAGATTGAATTACCCCTTTCAGATAATCACTCCATTCAGAAGACTGATGCTGTGCGCTGAGAACAGGAAGGAGATGGAGGACTGGATGAGCTCACTGAAGTCTGTACAGACCAGAGAACCTTACGAGGTAAAGTAGCATCTTTTCCCGGCACCTTCTGTTCTTGGAGAAGGAAAGTCATTCAAAGAGCTAAAGCTATATTCTGCAAAGAAAAGTATGTGTAGATTCATTAAGCAGCATGCTTACATCTGATGTTGACCTTTCTAAATTTTTAACTTAAAGTGTTTCCATTTTAAAAAGTACACATTTGAAATTTTAATCCTAACTAAGTGCATCCCTGAGGTTCACTGTCTGTCGTCTTATTCTCTCGGTTGGTAAATCTGTGCTCGCGTCTCGTTTCTAGGTGGCCCAGTTTAACGTGGAACATTTCTCAGGGATGCATAACTGGTACGCCTGCTCCCACGCACGACCCACTTTCTGTAATGTGTGCAGAGAGAGTCTTTCCGGAGTCACCTCCCATGGCCTGTCCTGTGAAGGTACTGTAGCCCGGGCCTGCCTTCTCCCTCACCACTGACCACACTGGGAACACGCTGCCAGCCGAGCAGATAAATGTGCCCCCTGGAAGCCATTTCCCGTGGGTGGAAGCAGGAGCTGGGAGCACTTCAGTGGGAACGTAGTGTTTAAGTTTTACCGTAGCTTCAAATGGAGCTCGATGCATATAGGACTAACTTGGGAAATGTTTTTGCTGAGGGAAGGATGAATACAAATCACTGGGAAGGAAGTGTAAATCAAAATGTAGCATTGCATGTCTGAGGAACTAGCTCCTGCTGCTTAAAAATCGTCTTTAGACTGTATCCGTCTTTCTGGTTTTCTGGTCTTCTTTTTCTGTTCTGACTGGTTATGAGGACAAAACTTTCAGTGAGGACAGTACAGGCTCTTTGACAGAATTTCCCATTGTTATTTTTGTTTCATTGTTTTAAATGTTTTCTTTTACTTCACTTAATGTTTAATTGAAATGGATGCCATCCTTTTTAATTTCTTGAAAGTTTCCTGAAAATAAGCCCAGGGCTGTTGTTTTCATTATAGGATTTATGGGTGGTGGTGGTGATGGTGGTTTTTTAATAAAAAAGCAGTGACCAGCCGAAGCAAATATACTAATACTTACCAAGAGAAAACTCATAACTTCTTCAGACTTATTTAATTCCATACCTCAGTGATCACACTACTGTGTACTACTTTCTGAACTAGATAATACTAATATTAGCTTTTTTCTCTAATATAAAAAATCTGAATTTTGAACATAACTTTATTAGACTCCATAATGAAATAGTAATAGAGTCCCAGCTTTCATTCACTTTAAGGTAGCTCCACGTTTTGACTTTCGTTTCCTGATCTGCAAAACAGGGATAATAGTCATTTATATTCACAGATGCTATGAAAATTAAATAGGAGAATATATCTGCAAGGAAACAACTTTTCTAGTCAAATAAATTGTGGAAGGTTGTAACTGTGCTCTGTAAGAAATCCGTCAAGTAAATAACTACAGATTGTGTCATGGCCCGAGGCATTAAAATCGTGAAAATGAACATTTGGAAGAGATATTACACATTGTTTTTGTTTTTGTTTTTTTAAGATTTAAAGAGTGGTTGCAAACGAGATGTAATTGCCCTTTATGACTTTAGTAATCTACAAGGGTTCCTGTGGCTCTGAGTTACTCTTACCAAGTGTAATACTCTGAGGTGTTACTTTGAAGGTCTTTTTAGTTGCCTCCTAGTCTTCCATTCCAAAAATCCTAAAAAATATATCAGATCTGAGATACTCTCTGGTACCCTACTGATTTGATTTATGCATTATTAGATATATTTAGTTGTTTTTATATTGAGTTTAAACTGGGATGACTAAGTATTTTTCCAAATCTTTTAAAAGAAAAATGAAAATTGTATTAACTGATGAGAATAAGAAACTTAAGGTCTTTCAATAAATTTATCATTATTCTGTTAATAATGAAGTCTTCCTGACTGTTACTGTCTCAGTTACTGTATTTTTGAATTATAGTTTCAGAAGAATATATGTTAGTCCTCATTTTGTCTGCTGATAAAAATTTTAAATATGTGGTGTCTTGCCCATTGGTATTGTTAGAACTGTAGCAAAAGGTTTTAAAAATCCCAAGGGTTTTATGAATGTATAAAGAAGTTATTTTTTTTTTTTATTTTACGAGAATGTGATTATTTAGGATCATTTTCTTGTAATCCAAGTCATACTTAAGCTTTAGACACTCCCCCCAAATCTGAATAAACTCCTTGCTTGACAAAAACAAAAGACATAGGATGCAAGAGGCTTTAAAAGAAAAAACAGAGATGCAAATACAAGAAAAATTCGTTCCACGATGAGTGAGTAACTTTGTATTGGAATGGAATTCAGTTTCTAGTGTGTGAAGCCATCACTAAATTTACTTAATCCTTCTGCCCTTATTTTTCACAGGAAAACAAGCCTGTACTGATTTGTCTTCTGAGTTTGTGTTGATTAATTACTAAAACTGTTATTTTAAAGCCTTGTATATGTAAAATATAGGATTGAAAAATAGACAGAAAATACTTTTCATAAATGATTCCCTAAATCGAGAATGTCAGTAATAATTTCAGAGCCTATTTGTTCTTCACAGTTATTTAAACAGTAACTGAACAAAAAAGTTAAATGGTGATTTTTTTTTCTTTTTGATTCAACAGCATCAAATATGTTAACATAGGTACCTATGAATTTTTATCTTAGCCGCAATTGAACACTTAAAAAGATTCAATGTGGTAGACTGAAAATTGCAATTAAAAAAATCATAATTTAGTGACATGTCAGCATATTTTTTTTAAGTTCTGTGTTTTTAGTAATAGCTTTGTAGTTCAGGGGAAAGTGCTTTATTTCAGAATAACTTCAGAATGGCCACCTAACAAAATTAAGGTGCCTATTAATCATTTCCATTCCTTAGTGACTGTAATCACAGTATAGTTTATTTTATTTTATTCTATGCTACATTTAAGCACCTTTGCAATTTTCAAGACTCATTGCACGAAGCACTTTATTATTACAAGTGTGATTTTTATTTTTAATGAGCTATTTGATTTTTAATGGCAAAATTTTCAAAAAGCCATGAAATCATTCCCTGTTGCTCTCTTTTATTTCCTCCTTTTCCTCTTAAAAAAACACTTATTGACTATTAATATCAAATACTTCGTTGTACTTAAAAAGCAGCCTGGGAATTAGTTGCAGATAAAACTAAAACTAGGACCACACTTTTGAGAAATACCGTAAGAGATGAAAGACCTAGAGTTCCTAATTAACCTCGGTTTTAAAATAGTCACTTGCATGGGAGCAAAAGGGAGCAGGTCATGCTAAAATTGTTTTTCAGACCAAGCTTACTTCCTTTGGTGCTCGCTCTTTACACATTTGTCTATCAGCAATGAGATTCCATTGAAAAACCGGTTTATTGTCTATGAAGTCTGTGCTCGAGTCCCTAAGTCATTTATCACAAAAATAGTAGGATTTCCAGGAAAGAATTTGTCAAGGTACACAAAAGACCAGTTAAATGAAACATTTCCAATGTCTAGACTAATATTTTTCAAGGAAAAACCGACTCTGCTTAAGTGACCTTTTGCATATCGGCTCCCCGTGACATCATGAAGCATTTTGAACATTTGGCTATAGACACTCAGGGATTTTACCCTTTCATTTGTGTGCTACAGTAAATTGGGACTTTTTTTTTTTTAAGATTTTATTTATTTATTTGACATAGAGACCTCAAGAGAGGGAACACAAGCAGGGAGAGTGAGAGAGGGAGAAACAGGCTTCCCGCTGAGCAGGGAGCCCTGTGGGGCTTGACCCCAGGACCCTGAGATCATGACCTGAGCTGAAGGCAGACATTTAAGGACTGAGCCACCCACATGGCTATAAATTAGGACTATAATTTCGGACTTTTTAAATTAGGACTTTTTAAAACAATGGCATGCATTCTATCATTTCAAACCTGTTAAGGGTTTACAGTTAGAAGTACAAAAATCATGTGAAAAAGAGCCACCTTCCATTAGCATTTAGGAGCAGTTACTTTTTCTATTTCCACTGACGTGATCTCTGCTTTTAAGTATCTGCGAAGTCAGAAACTGGTATAACATCCTTATCCACCAGTGCTTGGATAATTTGTATCCTTAAAAGGATGAAGTTTAGTAGTAGTAAAGTTCTGATTTTCATAAGTAAGGGTCCCTTTCTCAGATAACCTGTGGCTTACTTGTTTTTCATATATGAGCTGCTGCTTTCCTGGTTGTTTCCTCTTATTTCTCTCTTTTGTGTTTTTGATTTGATATTTGTACAGATTGTAAACTGATTATCCAAATAGGTCTACTGAACGTCTGTCACCAACCATAGTTACAGAATTTTTTCCTTATGATGAGAACTTTGAAGACTTACTCTTATAACAACTTTCAAATATTCAAAGCAGTGTCATTAACTGTACTCACCATGCTGTGCATTACATGCCCATGGCTTATTTTATAACTGGAAGTTTGTACCTTTTGATGCCCTTCACCCACTTGGCCCACCTCCCTCCCCCTGCCTGGGCAGCCACCAAGGTGTTCTCTGTTTCTATGAGCTTGGTTTTCTGTGGGTTTGTTGTTTTTACAGTCCACATATGAGTCAGATCATAAGGCATCTGTCTTTCTCTGACTTACTTCAATTTAGCAAAATATCCTCTAGGTGCATTCATGTTGTCTCAAATGATTCATTTATATGGCTGAATAATAGTCCATTGTGTAGATACACATATGGATGTCACATTTTCTTTATCTGTTTATCCACTGAGGGACATTTAGGTTGTTTCTGTTTCTTGGATGTTATGGATAATGCTATAATAACATGAGGGTACAAATGTCTTTTCGAATTAGTGATTTCATTTTCTTCAGATTAATACTCAGAAGTGGAATTGCTGGACTTGATAGTTCTATTTTTAATTTCTTGAGGATGCTCGGTACTGTTTTCCAGAGTGGCTGCACCAATTTGCATTCTCACCAATAGTGCACACGGGTTCCCTTATCTTCAAATCCTTGCCAACACTTGTAATTTCTTGTCTTTTTGATAATGGCCATCTTAACAGGTATAAGGTGATACCTCATTGTGGTTTTGATTTGCATTTCCCTGATAATTAATGATATTGAGCATCTTGTCATGTGTCTGTTGGCCATCTCTATGTCTTATTTAGAAAGATGTCTATTTAGATCCACTGCCCAATTTTTAAGTGGATTTCTTGGTTTTTGCTATTGACTTGTATGAGTTCTTTGTAAAATTTGAATGTTAACTCATTACCACATACATGATTTGCAAATATTTCTCCTGTTCAGTATGTTGCCTTTCATTTTGTTGATGGCGTTCTTTGTTGTGTCATAACTTTTAATTTAATGTAGTCCTGTTTGTTTATTTTTGTTTTGTTGTCTTTGCTTTTGGTGTCAGACCCAAAAAGATCATCACCAAGACTGATGTCAAGGAGCTAGCTATTGGGGAGTTTTCTTCTAAGAGTTTTATGGTTTCAGGTCGTATATTCAACTCTTTAATCCATTGTGAGTTAACTCTTGTATATGGTATAAGATAGGGCCTGCTTTTATCTTTTTGCACATAACTGTTCAATTTTCCCAGCACAATTTAATGAAGAGACTGTTCTGTCTTCATTATATGTTCTTGGCCTCTTTGTCGTGAATTAATTAGCCATATATATGTGGATTTAATTCTGGGCTCTCTATTCTGTTCTATTGATCTATGTGTCTTTTTTTTTTTTAAAGATTTTATTTATTTACCTGACAGAAGGAGAGAGATCTCAAATAGAGCAGCAGGCAGAGGGAGAGGGGGGGAAGCAGGTTCCCTGCTGAGCAGAGAGCCTGATGTGGGGCTACATCCTAGGACCCTGGGATCATGACCTGAGCCGAAGGCAGAGACTTAAGCCACTGAGCCACTCAGGTGCCGCTATGTGTCTGTTTTCATGCCAGTACCATACTGTTTTGATTACTATGGCTTTGTCATATAGTTTCAAATTAGTGAGTATGATACCTTCCACTTTGTTCTTCTTTCTCAAGACTGCTTTGGCTGGCTATTCAGTCTTTTGTGGTTCCATAAAAATTTTTGAATTATTTGTTTTAGTTCTTTGAAAAATGCCATTGGAATTTTGACAGGGATTGCATTGAATAAGTATATTGCTTTGGGTACTACGGACATTTTCATAATATTAATTCTTCCAATTCATGAGCATGGGATATTTTTCCCATTTATTTGTGTCTTCAATTACTTTTCCTTCATGTCTTGTAAGTTTTAGTGTCTCTTTTTTAGGCTCCCTTTTGATAATATGGCTGGGCAGAATTAGTGATGGATATAATGTACTACTTCTTCATTATTTTCTTCTACATTATAATGTAATGATCTCAAACAGTAATACCTTTAAAAAACAATGCCATCTTTGTGACCTTTATCAACCTATTCCCCGTGACTGGATATTTTCTTGACATACTCGCATTTTAAATCTCCTCCAGATTATCCTGTTCTTTATCTTACTGATATTTTCAAACTTTTTATTTTAAATACATGTACTGAAAAATACAAATATCAGAGGAGTACAACTGGTAGGATTTCTCACAAATTAATGGCATTTATGTAATCAACACCCAGATTAAGAAAAAGGGTGTTCCCAGCACCTCTGTATTACTGAATTTTATTTAATTCTGTTTGTGTGTGTGTGTTTTCTCCTTTCTCCTAAAGAACTAGTTCTTTTGTATTTATTTCCTTTCTGTTTTATTTGTGAGTGGAATCTAAGTAGCAATCTATAGATTGATAAAAGTGCTTCATAAATACATAACCACATGTATCATAAATACATGAATATCTTCTGAAAAGATATTTTCAGAATACCTTTAGTATTGTTGAAGAGTAACTAAACTTTTTAAATTATTGCTTTTCTTCTTCCCCCACCCTTGAAATTCCATGCTGTGATTTCCTCTAATCATTGTTCCAAAAGTATACATTCATTTAGAAATGGTTAACTTTTTTTTTTTTTTTTTTAGTGTGTAAATTCAAAGCTCACAAAAGATGTGCAGTGAGGGCAACAAATAATTGCAAATGGACGACTCTAGCCTCCATAGGGAAGGACATCATAGAGGACGAGGATGGAGTAAGCTCAGTTCTGTCTTTGGTTTCTTCCCAGTACCACCTCCCTCTTATTGTTTGCCCTGTGGAAAATGACAGAGTTAAGTGGGAGTATTTACTAGTAGGACTAAATGGAAGGCTTTGGTTAGTTAGGAGTTTCTATTTCCAGTTAGATCCTCCGTAGTTTCCTTTAGCTCTTAAATTTTGAGGAAAATGCGAAGAGGGCTTGGCGATGATTGCTGCGCTGGGCTGGTGTTGGAGACCCTTACCTGACAGTAAAATATTCTTTAAGGCTGATCTCAGATGTCTGTTCAGATGTTCGCTCCTAAGACATTGGGGCCTCCTTTCGGCAGTGTCCCCTCCACCTTTAAAACCTTGTCTCCATGGCAACTTGCATACACATCTCTGATAGCACTTTGTAATCAAATCACTTCATGATAATGCCTTGACCTTCATTGCTCCTCAGTTAGACTACAAATCCTGAAGGTCAGGGATATGGTCTTGCTTATTTTTGTATCCCTGTGGTGCTCAGGTCATAATAGAGGGTCAATAAAAGTGGACTAAATGAATGGGTGCCACAAGTGATACATATCTTGATTCCATAGAATGAGAAATAACTGTAGACCTTCCCTAGGGTAAGAATGGTGTCCTACCGTCTTTAATTTGCCTGCTGTTTATTCTCGCTGCGTAGGTAGCTATGCCTCACCAATGGCTCGAGGGTAACTTGCCCGTGAGTGCCAAGTGTGCTGTCTGTGACAAAACGTGTGGGAGTGTTCTGCGTCTACAAGATTGGAAATGCCTTTGGTGTAAAACAATGGTGAGAATCCTTTCTAATTCCTTCATAATTTTTTTTAAATCTATGTAATTTAGGAGTAAAGAATTTACGGTCAAACAGAGCATGGTAGCATACATACCCACTGTAACATTCAACTTTTTCCGAAGTATATTCCTTCCAGTCTGGTTACTTTTTAAATATCCTTTTTGTAATGCCCTTGTCATCTGTTTTTGTTTGTTTGTTTGTTTGTTTGTTTTGTTTTGTTTTTTGTCTGAAGACCTTTTCCCCACAGTTTTGTTGTTTTTCATTATGCTATAGCCACATTTAATGGTTTACTATTTTTAGCCCCGTTTTACCACCTGTTACACACAGAAAGCGACCAAATTTTTATTGACATGTGAAGTATAATTTCAGTACAACACTGCGCATGTTCTCTGATGGAACACCAAGTTCATTCAGCCATGCCTAGGTATAATTGAAATTAGATTTTTTTTTTAAAGATTTTATTTATTTATTTGAGAGAGAGCATGAGAGGTGAGGGTCAGAGGGAGAAGCAGACTCCCTGCTGAGCAGGGAGCCTGATGTGGGACTCGATCCCAGGACTCTGAGATCATAACCCGAGCCAAAGGCAGTTGCTTAACCAACTGAGCCACCTAGGCGCTCTGAAATTGGATTTTTATATTACATATATATTATGTAGATACATGTTTTAAAACTTTCTCACATGTGTAAGAAAGCAATGAGAAGTACGCATGGCATAACATGGAGCCAACGGCAAGGCATGGTCCTGTCTGTGCCAGACTGCCTGAGGACTGGGCCTGAGGCTTCATGAGGGCAGTCAGAGCAGAAACTCCGAGGGTGGACTCAGGCCACTCAGAGGTTGGCGTGGTGCTCACTGTGCGTGGTGCTCACCTATTGGTTGGGGAGGCAACAGCTGTGGGTGCTCATCTCCGCACTAGGCGATGCCATCCAACCGTGACAGCGATCGCCTTGCATTGGGCTGATTTGTTTGGTCTTGTGTTGAATCTTGGAAGTCACTTCCCACCCACCCCCTCCAAAAAAGGGTGGAAAACTCATTTCTTTCAGTGAGTATGATGTAGATCCTCAAAGGAGAATGATGTGAGTACGCTGGGTTGATTTCGTAATCGGTGAGATTAATTCCATTTTTTTCCACGGGAAAAAGTAAGTCCTGCAGTTTTTCAGTTGGGCCTGATAGGTGATCTGTTTCCTTCTTCTTCTTCTTCTTTTTTTTTTTTTTAAGATTATTTATTTATTTATTTGACAAACAGAGATCACAAGTAGGCAGAGAGGCAGAGGCAGAGAGAGAGGAGGAAGCAGGCTCCCTGCTGAGCAGAGAGCCCGATGCGGGGCTCAATCCCAGGACCCTGGGACCATGACCTGAGCTGAAGGCAGAGGGCTGAGCCACCACCACCCACACTGAGCCACCCAGGCACTCCTCCTTCTTATTTTTAAATCAAACTTGATTCTATCCTCATGCTTTTATTATTCTTCATCAGTTACCCCTCTTGTCAGCCACAGGTGTTACTTCTAATTTCTCTGATGCCCTGTAATATCATATATAGACTGTCTTAGGTATGTCTTTGGAGTTTTTGCGAAACTCTAACCCCTAAAACTCTCTTGTGGCACAACCCCAGGGTCAAGAATCACACGCTTCTCAACTGAGCCAGCCAGGCGCCCCAACATTCCTTATTTTATTTTATTTATTTATTTTTAAAGATTTTATTTATTTTTTTTATTTAGAGAGAGTGTTTGAGTGAGTTGGGGGCAGGGGCAGAAGGAGAGGAAGAGAGAGATGCTCAAGTAGACTCCCCACTGAGTGCGGGTCCCAACATGGGGCTCGATTTCTGGACTCCCAAGATTGTGACCTGAGCTGAAGTTAAGAGTCAACCGACTGAGCCGCCCAGGAGCCCTCCTGGCATTTCCTTATTTTAAGAGTGCTGCAGAAGGCCTGTAAGATAAAAATGTTATAAATAAATAAGAAAAATAAGTAAGTAAGTAAGTAAAGTGCTCCCATAAATGACATTTTAAAACTTCATCCCACCTAAGATTTCTCTTCGGTGGGGGCAGCCTCTGATGTGTGTGCCTACTGCTAATTTCATTGTCTGTACATCTGTTTCTCTGCTTCTGAAACTTCCGCTGTTCTCTTTTTGAAAAGAAAGCAGATTATGTATGTGACCAGTTACTTGTAAAAGGTTTTATAGAAGTTACCTCTACCTGCCGTGTGTAGGTCTCTACTTGTATTTTCTCAGTGATTTTTCAACTTTGCTAACGTTCACAGGAGGAGTTAATTAGCTATTTTACTTGCTCACTCTATTCGCCCTTTTAAAAATTTCATGAACAGTGTAGAAGGGTGGATACAGAATGTGGAAGGGGGCATTCTGGAATGTCTTCTCCCTCTTTTTTCTGGCAGAGTTAGATATCACCTTATCATGAAGTCTTTCCTGCCCTGTACTGTGTCCGTCGGACATTCAGGCACTGTCTGAATGGGCCACTGTCACCTTGTCACCTCCTTCTCAGTCTTGTACTTCCTATACAAAATCACTTACCTCTTCACACATTATTTTGTCTTTAAAATAATGAGTTTCTGACAGAATATCTAGTTTGTAAACCAGTCATGTAGTTGTTGTTGGTTTTTTTTTTTTTTTTTTTGGAAGATTTTATTTATTTATTTGACAGAGAGCTAGAGAGCACAAGTAGGCAGAGAGGCAGGCAGAGGGAGAGGGAGAAGCAGGCTCTCTGCTGAACAGGGAGCCCAATGTGGGACTCGATCCCAGGACCCTGGGATCATTACCTGAGCTGAAGGCAGCCGCTTAACCAACTGAGCCACCCAGGCGCCCCCCAGTCATGTAGTTTAAAGAGAGTAAAGTAAGACCATAGCTCCACAACTCTAATGAGTCCGTTTTGCCAGTTGTTGTTCAGTCTCTGACGACACTTTTACCTTTTTATAAAAAAAGTGAAGATAAGATTTTATCTTCTGCTTTTTTCATTTAACTTTGGCATCAATATTTTTGTTTTGCTCTGTAATTCTCATACTTTATTTTAAGATTTTATTTATTTTTATTTGAGAGAGAGAATAAGAGAGAGTATGAGAGGGGAGAAGGTCAGAGGGAGAAGCAGACTCCCATGGAGTTGGGAGCCCGATGCGGGACTTGATCCTGGGACTTCGGGATCATGACCTGAGCTGAAGGCAGTCGCTTAGCCAACTAAGCCATCCAGGTGCCCAATTCTCATACTTTAAAAAAAATTCCTTTTAAAACTCTCTGTGCATGCTTGTTTTTTTTTTAAATCCATTTAAGGTGTTAATTATTATAAATAATATTAGGGAACTATCCAAAATTAGGTCACCACATAAACAAGAATCACTATTTAATTTCAGTTATTTTCTCAAAAGTTTTGATAAATAGGTGTTTAATTAAATATTAATTTTCTAAAAGGACTGATGAAATAAAGCTGTATTAAATTTAAGTGCTTTATGAAATGTCTGCTTTTACTGCTTAAAACATTTCCAGGCTCTTTAGGTAAGTACTTAAAGTATTGTAAGCTCCCTGGGTTCTACTTAGCAAGTTAGCCCTGCTCCTGTTCACAATAGTATCTTGACTCACCTTGAAACTTTGTTCCTATGAAGTTCACACATTTACTGAGTGCGTATGATATATGTCACTTTCCAGGGTAAGTGTCCAATAATAAGACCTTTTCCTTTTCTTTACAGAGCCAGAAGTCTAGACGAGAAAATAAGCCTTCATGTATTTATACCTATAATAACATGAAAATGTTATATATTAAAAAAGGTGTGAATAGAAAGTTATAGGACCACTGCAGAAAGAGCAGACACATTACAAATTTTATTTTCATTAAATTCTGTAAGAACATTACAAGGTAGAGGTCATCAGTTTCTTTATGGATGATGATATTGACAAGTACTAGTGAACTTCCCTCCTTTCTCTTCCTCTTCCTTCCTCCTTCCATTCATTCCTGCCTTCCTCTCTCCTCTCCCCTTTCTTCCTCTGCACTCTGTTCTCCACTCTTCCTCTCTCCTCATTTTCACTAGGCATGTCTTTTCTTTTTTTTTAAGTAGTATCTACACCCAGTGTGGGGCTCGAACTTCCAATCCCAAGGTCAAGAGGCTCATGCTCTACCGACTGAGCCAGCCTGATTCCACTCACCAGGCATTTCTCGATATACCCTACTTGCCTGTGATAATCATAAAAGTAGGCTATACAGACCAAGTCAAATTCCCATCTACAGTAATCAGCCCATTCTTTAGCATTGTAAGTATTGTGCCATGAATTACTGAATATTTTGTGATATGGTTGATCTTCAATGATCACTTCCTCAGGTGCAATTTATGCCATAATAAAACATTGATGTGTTTTTATGATTCTTGAAAGTTTGTTTGTTTGTTATTAGGTACACACTGCCTGCAAAGATTTATACCATCCTGTGTGTCCCCTTGGCCAATGTAAAGTGTCTGTCATACCTCCAATTGCACTGAATAGCACTGATTCTGATGGTATGTATCAGTAGTGTAAATATGTATATTCCTGGTGTATTAAATGTTGATTTGTACATTTACTTTCCTAGGACAAATTGAACTGTAATTGGTTATTCTGGTCAGTTTTTATATAAATCCATTTAAATTGCTGAATAGTACATTTAACTTTTAAAAGAACATTGTAGAATTAAAACTTAACATGGCTATTAATACACTGGTGAAATTACTAAGCATAAGCCTTACAGATTTCACATTTCAGCAAGTAAAATAAGATCATTATTCTATAACAAAATGTAATCCAAAAAGTTAATTTTTGTGTATTCTTTTTTTCCTTCTGTAATTGAAATCACCCTTCAACATAGCTCTTATTAAAATCTGTTTTCCTATAATTTCCTTGGAGGAACTTATATTTCTATAAATTTCATCACTTTTTCCAGAATCTTACAACTTTGTTAAAGTGCTAAAGAACCCTGCCTTCCTTCTAAGCAAACCATATTACAAAAGGCTTTTACCATATGCTATTATTAAAGTTTTACATTAATAAAGTGCTTTATGATTTTCAGACTTTTTATGTTAATTATGCCGATAGATACTATAAATAGGAGGATATAGGCTGCAAAAGATGTGATTTTTTAGACCTGTGCTATTAACAGCCCTCCCCGTAAGCCCTGATAAATCAAGCTTCTATTATTTATGATAAATTTTGAAGTATTTTCTAAAGCCTCATGAAGGAGAAGTTAAAACATTTTATAATACTGACTATGAACATAAATTCTTTGACAAATGTGAACTTGGAGACTCATTGGTGTTAAGGTAGGTGTTGTCTCTTCAATATTCTATGATTAATACTTTTACCATCTTTGGTAGGATTTTTCATTATAGAGCGTATTTTAAAAGATAAGTTCTATAGTCTTAGTATGTAAATAAAACTTCTCTCCGTTTGGGGGGCTAAATTTTAATTTATTGTTCAAGCAATAAACAAGGTTCTTTATGAATTAGTGTTCTTTTCTCTGAAGTTTCGTCAGTAGTAGGTTAAAACGGGCAGCCGTTCATTTTGATCCCGTGTTGTGTGTTCTTTTACAGGTTTCTGTAGAGCGACATTTTCATTCTGTGTTAGTCCTCTACTGGTTTTTGTCAATTCTAAGAGTGGAGATAATCAGGGAGTAAAGTTCCTTCGACGATTTAAACAGTTGCTAAATCCGGCTCAGGTGTTTGATTTAATGAACGGAGGTCCTCATTTAGGGTAATTGATTATTGATAAATCTCATTGGAATGAAATAGCACTAAGCATGAAATGTGTTTGATTTTTCAGTTTGTGAAGATTGTCGATTCATCGAGACATCTCTTCCCACTCTTCCCTTTTTTAAAGCTCTAATTCTAAATTTTAACTTCACCTTTTGATATTTATATAACTTCCTTATGTGCTGAAAACTCCAAAATTTGTTCAGAAAATGTTTTAGAATATATCCTGCCTCAGACAACACTAATGGTTTGCTTAGCTCTAAGAAAGATCAACTTGTGTAAATATAGAAATACCCAGTAACTTCAGAAAATGATCTGCATGGAAGGCTAGCAACATTGATTTTTATAATCAGTTATTTAAATAATCAGTTATTTAACCAAAGCCCAGACACTGCTTTGGGTCTCAAGGACAGCTCCTCAAGGACTTGAGACTTAATTCCTACATGAATGACAAAAAACACTGGTGTTGAGTGTTCTTTTCAGCTTTCTGGAATGTCCTCTAACTTACAATCTGAAAAAAATTTAAATGATTTTCAGTGAGGGAAAATATGCCTTATGGTACTTTTAATACATTTTTGGTGTGTGTATATGACTTTGTTGAGGAGGTGATATTGGATCACCTGAACCTGGGTTCATGCAACCTCTTCATGATTTACTTCTGCCAACTCCACTTTTCTCTTGGGTTCCACTGTCACCTTAAAGCATGAACACAGATGTAAAAATGGGGATTTTAGATACCCTGAAAAGGCCCTAGGTTTTTAATTTAATACTTTCCTGTCTTTTCTCTCACCTGCCTCAGTCTGTTTGTGTGCCTCTGTTCACTTCTCTTTGGGTTTGTTTCTTCTTGTTTCTGTTGTCTTCTTACCAAGTCTCAGGCCCTCTGGTCCTGTCGATGTTGGTCTTCATCCTTTCCCAATGCTCCCCGCCCCCGCACCCCACCCCATGTCTCCTTGTACATGTCTTCCCCTTGTTTGGGTCTGGCATTTCCTCACCTGGCCTCACCTTTCAAGTGTGTCTCTTGCATTGCTGGTTAGCTGTGTCTCCCTTTGTAGCATATCTGTTTCATAATCCTTCACAGTTCCTATTTCTTATTTTATATACGTGTACTTTTGCCACCCATCCTTTATGATTCCAAGGAAGGCCCTTTGTGAAACTTCTTGAGATTGTCTCAACAGCGTATTTTATAGGGTTTCCACAGTACTCGAGGTGTACAAAGGTATATTCAGGAGATAGGGAGTGCCCAAAGTTAAGATGAAGGAAGGACAGAGGCAAAAGACTGACCCAGACTAGGACGAGGGGGAAGAAAAGCAAGTGGGTGTCCAAAAAGTGGTATGTCAGCAACGTTTGGTGGATCCCTTTAGGAACTGACTTGAGTGTCAATAATATCAGTGCCCTAGATTCTCCACCCCCGGTTTGTAATATGCCATTCTTAAGGAAATCACATAATCCTTGTAATGAGAAGGAAAAAAATCACTACTTTTACCATGTCTTATCACTTACCTTTCATTTTCTTTTTTTTCTTAAGATTTTATTTTATTTATTTGACACAGAGAGAGAGAGAGATCACAAGCAGGCAGAGAAGCAGGCAGAGAGAGAGAGAGAGAGAGAGGAAACGGGCTCCCTACTGAACAGAGAGCCCGATGCGGGGATTGATCCCAGGACCCTGAGATCATGACCTGAGCCTAAGGCAGAGGCTTTAACCCACTGAGCCACCCAGGCGCCCCACCTTTCATTTTCTTTCCTGGGTTCTACTTCTTTGTTTTCTCATTTCTCACTCCCCTTCCCTCCTAATTCTATCTCCATTTCTACTTATAATCCCTTTTCCTCTTAATGAGTAAGCAGTTTTCTCAAGTTAAAAATTGCACTTCCATCTTTATAGTATCATTAATGTGTATGTAAGCATTCTTATATTTGATCTGAACACAAATACCAATATATACAGAATAACAAAGAATTGGGGAAAATGATTTTTATTTATTTATATTAAAATAAAATACTTTTTGCTTTCAGTTTAAGATTATTCCAGAAGTTTGACAATTTCCGAATTCTTGTTTGTGGAGGAGATGGAAGTGTAGGTTGGGTCTTGTCAGAAATTGATAAGCTCAACTTGAATAAACAGGCAAGTACTAAATCTTTTCATGACTTATTAACATGAATGTATACTAACTGCTGACCAGAGGAGAGCAGAAGTGTCGTGGCTCCTATTTCTCATCTTGCCTGAGATATCCCTGTTGTGCTTTCTTCCAGTGTCAGCTGGGAGTATTGCCTTTGGGTACAGGAAATGACCTTGCCCGGGTTCTAGGCTGGGGCGGTTCCTACGACGATGACACCCAACTTCCTCAAATTCTAGAGAAGCTGGAACGTGCCAGTACCAAAATGCTAGACAGGTAAAAGTGAATTTTCTTCTAACACTAGCCTGAAAATGGCATACTGACATCATTTTTGGTAGTTGAAATTTTACGAACTGTAAGCTCGATGACGATAGAGACTTCCTGGTCTTACGCACTTTTTTCACTCCTGAGGTCTACTAACTTGCATAGAGTAAACACTCAATATATATATTTTTGGGGTGGATGGATAAATTGTAACAAAAACTGAAAAAACTAGTCTAATGAACCCACTGTTTTAAAAATGGAACATCCTGCTGGTAGAGCACTTACTTTTCATTGTTGTTCCGGTCAGAAGACTTAAGCAGTTCATTTTGTGTGGGGGCTTTTGATGACTGTAATGGGTATGGCCCCATTGTTCTGTGGCTTCATTAAAGCTAAGGAAGATGTATAAACTTGAGATGTGTTAGACTATCTCTTCTTGATTATGCATATTAAAAATGAATTGAACCAACAAAGAACTAAATACTAAAAAAGACAATCCTTTCCCAGTGACTGGGAAATACTAAGAACACCATATCAAGGAATTACTACTGTGTTTGTGGTATCCTTGACCACATCTCAACTTCTTTCTCTCTAAATGCTCCGTGTATAAAAAAGGAAATCACAGTATGTGTACCCTGAGTATTATAAAGAAGGTGGGTAGGATTGGGACCCAGTGAGCAGTAACCTGCCCTTCCCCCACCATAGGTAGAAGACAACTGTTAGTATATCATTATAAACTTAAGCTAGCATGAATCAAAACAACATTGATAGGATTAGCCATCTGTGGAACTGTTCCCGAAAATAACAAAATCTCATCAGGGAGCCACCAATCTAAAATGTAATTAACTCTAAAATGAGCTATAACCTAATTAATTGTAACCTTGCCCATCATAAGGTAATGTATAATGGTTGATTCCTTTGCTGACGGGATATTTAAAAAGAGCTGGTCTGTAGAGCTTCTGTCTGTGGTTATCCAAAACTATTCGTGAGAGGGATATCCCCCTAGCTGGGATGTGTAAAATAGATTCTGTCTCCAGGCTTTAAAAGAACCTGGAGGTGATTTCCCAATTCTGTGCTTACCAAACCACAAAAAAATGGCTTTTTGCACAAATTTAAACACAATTCTCACTGCATCCCAGGAAATGCTGCTAGACATTTCCTCCACACTGGGTGTGTGCTTTTCCTTTGTATGTTAGAAAAATTAACTTCTCCAGGTGGTCCGCAGAGGAACAGTGCCCCCATGGTGAGAGTCTTTGATGCAGACCTGCACACAACAAAAGAAGAGAAACATCAAAAGAGGCTGGAGAACCTACTACCGTTATTGGAAACATAAGACTATTTCGTTCTGGTGTTGTCTTCACTAAGAATACTGTTGGGAAAGAACAGGTGGCAGAAGTCCCTGTTTAATATTATTTGAATTACAGAAGCTTTTCATTTTTAATCAATTGATTTGCTCCTCAAAACAACACTGTCAGGCGGCTAAGAACAACATTATTATGACGATTTTACAGAGATGGAACTTGAGGCTTGTGGAGACAGTGAGAAGAATATTTTTTCGTCTGCCGGGTACTTTTACTTGCTTTACTTATCTCATTTAATCATCCCTACACACCTAATGCTGAATGAAATTATAATCTCCATCTTACAGGTAAAATGGCTGAGGAGTGTCACATAGCTAGTAAGTGGTAGAACTAACTGGCACTCTCTTCTGGAATCCTGACTCTAGTTCTCAAGCTCTTTCCTCAGCACCGCACACTGTGTCTTCCTTAATGCACACATGCGTCAGATAGGGCCCAGCCTTCCGGCCTCTGACTTGGTTAGCTGGTCCCAGTATGCATCCTTTCTTCATTTGTCCCGCCACTTTCTCTTCTCTCTTTGGCTCCAGCCTTTTTCTATCAAGGGAGGAGGTACAGTATGGAAAGTACAGCAAACTTAAGACGTTTGGATTTCTTCCCCATTTCTTTCACTGTCCTTTGACCAGAGGAGTATTTCAAGCTATAAGGAACTTCACTTTCATGTTTCTCTTGGTGGTCTTCCCTCTTTGGCTATCTACAGAGTTTCATTATTTTATGTGTTTTCTGAACCAGGATATAAACTTCATTTGGAAAGTCTTAATCAGCATTCTGTTTCCAGACCATGGAACACTGTCTGTCGTTTTGAGATGTTCAATAAGTGTCCGTTGCATGAATGAATGAATGGCTTTTGGTGCCCAAATATCTATTCCTTGATGGTATTTTCATGTCAAGAGTTGAGGAGTAGCTATAGGTATTCAGTTTTTACATCCTAACATACAACCTATGGCTTTGGGGGAGATTTTCTGGGAATTTGGATTTTTATGCAAAGACTTATTAGTTTGAATGATGCACTCAGCTCTGTTTAAATACTGATGCTAATCTTGGGATTTTTCCCTAGGTTCTATTACTGGCTTCAACTGTGATATGCTTTTCTTAAAATTCATATGTTATGGTACTGCTTTTATTATGCTTTGTGTCTTTATAAAATTGTGATTTCACATCCTGTTACTGACAACAGTAATGTCCCTACCCACTGTTCTTCCCAAATTGTGAAATTATTTTAGATGAAGACTGGATTTATCTGGAGTTGATTGCTTTTAACAGCAGGTGATTCAGTGTTTGGTTTGAAATTAATATTTACAGCTAATTGAAATAAATTTGCTTCAAGTGTTAAGAAGTTAATTATTATTTCTGTTGAGTTTTTCTTCTCAACCCCATGCTTACTTTCTTACTTATTTTAAGAAGGGGTAGTTAGTTAATTTTCATTTCATGTGTGTATAAGCTGACTGGACAAGATTGGTTGGCACACAGAGAATGATTTATCTTTCATTGGCACTATGCATTTGTTTAATCTGGGACATTGTTTTAGAACTTTGGGATGTGATCCATTAGTAACCTATGAATCTATTTAGTTCCTTGCAATTAACATTATTTAAGAAGTGAAAGAAAAAAGAAGTTCGAATGCATTGCACTACTAAAGAAGGGAAAGTTTTGTTATATGTGTGCATTTCTTACTATGGGTCATGGCCTTTAAAAAGTTTGGGAATCCCTAATCAGAGGATTGGTAAAATATGGACATCGTAAAGTATGTCTTCAGAGTTTTATGAGATTACCAAAATTCCATTTCTTTCCTAATGTTTGGTTGTTTTAGGTACAATAAACCACAATTTGTGCATATATGTGCACATGTATATACATGAGGTAAGAACAAAGTCAGTTTATTAAATTTTAAAGGAATTTTAGACCAAAGATTTTTCTCCCTTCAGGTGGAGTATAATGACCTATGAACTCAAATTGCCACCAAAGGCTTCTCTACTCCCAGAACCTCCAGAAGCATCGGAAGAATTTTATGTAAGACTTTTACCCTTTGCCTCTTTATCATTTGGAAATAGGGGTGAATATCTTGAACAAATAAGAAAACTTTATAAGATATGGTAGCATGTTTGGGGCGCCTGGGTGGCTCAGTGGGTTAAAGCCTCTGCCTTCAGCTCGGGTCATGATCCCAGGGTCCTGGGATCGAGCCCCACATCGGGCTCTCTGCTCCGCGGGGAGCCTGCTTCCTCCTCTCTCTCTGCCTGCTTCCCTGCCTGCTTGTGATCTCTGTCTGTCAAATAAATGGATGAAATCTTAAAAAAAAAAAAAGAAAAAAAGATATGGTAGCATGTTTGCTTAATTTTATGTTTTATCGTGTTTGGTAGGGGCTCATTGACTACTTCTAGTCCTCTGCCCCAGAAGAAAGAATCCTTACGATTTAGGTTAGAGTCCTTCTATGACTACTGTCCTGGGAGTGTGAACTTGGCCATATCACTTACTGTCATGGGCCTCCATTACTTTATCTGTAGAGCAAGTTCCTGATGTTGGGAGGAGTAAACACAGGACCCAATGTGTATAACGCACCAGGCATGCGAGTTCCCTTCCCCGACCCTCATAGTTCTCCCTTACCATTCCACCTGTCTGCTTCTGTTTACCAGCAGGGCTCTAGAGAAGGCCTGCAGATGAGAGGTTCCTGTTAGCTTTTACTCATCTTCTGCTTTGGCCATAGACACCTGACTGACCAGTAGGTATTAGCTCAGCAATTCCAAACCACCAGTGCTTGTGGGCAGAGTATGATATAATTTCTCTCTTCCTACTTTGCCTCTTCGTTGAGGATTCACTATTACAAGCCTCCCTGTGAAGCCTATTGGTCATGAGAAAACAGTGGAAGAAAGAGCGCTCACTTCATTCCATCCCTGCTACAGACTGGTCATCACTCTAGTTCTTAGATGTTTAAAGATTGTTTTGACTAAACCTTAAAGCACTGGAGAATTGAAACAGATCCTAATTTTCAAAGGATTATCCTCTGACTGACAAACTGTTTGATCTATGATAACTTATTTTTCCCTCTAGGACAATTCGTCTGTTTATTTACAGTTGAAATCTCTGTTTTGTCATTAAGAAAATTATGAACATGTCAAAACTAAGGAAAGGAATGATAACTAGAAATGGGGCTATTCCTTAAAGAAGCTAGCTGTAATTGAACACTTTTTTAATCTAAAAGTAACAAAAATTGCTTCTAAAAAATATGGAAAATATAAAAATAATTGAAAAAATAATCTTACCTATAGCCCCGACAAAGATAATTCCTATTAAAGATTAATATGTTTACTACTTTATTTTCACAGTATTTTTATTTATAGTATTATTTTATCCAACTATAAATATAATACTTGTTCTTATAGAAACCAGTCTTTTTTCTTAATAGTATCTTTGTAAATGATATTAATTTTCTCCCCAGAGGGACAAAAGTGGGAATTCTTTTGTTCTATTTACTTTAGAGAGGTCTATTTCCTAGACCTAGGTCTTTTACCTTTACAATAATAAAGGTAAACAATTTACTTTTATTACATATATATAGTCGTTAAATATGAGATACAGTTGTAACCACATGGAAAAAAATCTTTTTTTTAGTATAAAAAGGTTTTGAATAAGACTTAATTTACTTTGTTATTTTGTTAAAATATTGTATAACGAAGGGACGGCATGCCTTAAGATTACAAGTTAAATGAATGTTGCGTATCACTCCAACTAGTGGCCATGTGTCCTTTTTGCTTTTAAAACTATAATAAAAGCAAGTTGAACCTTCCTTCTTAGGCTCAACCTAATTCCCTAGCTTATATTTTTTTAAGTATTCATTTTAAATTCCCTTGTGCATGATTGTGAAATTATTATTTTTCCAGTTTTCCTTAAAAGGGCACAAATGTGTTTGAACTTCCTAATTATCTTATTAACTTAGCATTCCTCTGGCATTGTAGAGTCGCAGAGCTTAAAGAATTATGACAGTTTTATTAATTCCTTGTGGCCATAATTAAGTAATTCTGTTTGCTGTTGTACTTTTTAAACTTAGAAAAAACAAGAATTCCATGATTCCTTTCAGTAACAATGGTTCTGTTAATACTCAATATCAGGAAACATGTTGCTTACATTTAACATGAAATCCCCTTGCCGTCATGTACTGTTCTCTTATATCCCTTTGCCAATGAATATATGTCCCCCCAGTGACATCATGCTCAGTTCATACCTGTCCTTACCTCAGTTATCACCTGCTCCAAGAAACCATCCTTCATCCCCCAAGCCCTAGTACCCTTTCCTGCTTCACGAGTTCAAAGGCCCCCTCCCATTATCTTGGTGCTATTGTACTGTCAAGACCAGGCAATGTGTTATTCATTCACCATTGCGTTGTCATCTGGTGTTGGGACTGGCACAAGGTGGACAATTAATAAACAATTCATAACGTCATTTTTTGGTCTAAATACCAAAAGCTTTTGGAACTATGGGCATCTTGTCATCCAAGCCCTCTGGCCTTGTGTATTTCTTGGAAGCCCAATTCCCATCGCATTCAAATTAGATTAAAAGCTTTTTGAGGCAAGAGTCATCGTTTTTGTCTGTTTTGTATCATATCCCTATCACTCCGGTCTAGTGAGTCAGTAGCTGCTTACTTATTAATGGTAAGGTCATCAAAAAGAAGATGTGAGCTGCTGTCTCTTCACCAGCTCCCTGAAAATGGGAGGGAATGGCTTCAAATCTCTGGAAATGAAATTCTTCCTATTCATTTGTTTTTAAATTTACTCTTATTGAAAGCTTCTCTCCCCTCAGTTCTTTCTGTTTCCTAGCTGTTTGGTTACAGCATGCTAAGATGTTATAACTTTATTTGTAAATTATATTTATTATTTCTTTCAAAGGGCTCTTAAATTGTTAGGACATAAGTACTAATTAAGTTGTTTGTACTTAACTACCGTTAGGGATTCCTTTTGGCCTCGGGGTACTGTGACAAAATCTTTCAGACATTAAGGATGCAATGAGGCCAGAAAGTTGGAGAATCTCTGTTCTCCGGAGAGGGGCAGACAGTAAATGATCAGCTATGTTTAGGTTCTCTCCAGGGCATAATGGTTGCACAGAAGAGAGGATGTTTTGTCTAGCAAGCTCAGTGACGTCTTTACAGAGGAGGTTGTACGTGAACTGGGTTTTTGGCACAAAAAAAGAGAAGTTGGAATTAGCCAGTTGAGAAAGAGCATGACATAGAACCTCATAGTAAGGACCTTGGTACATTTGGGGCCCTACAGGTAATACTGTCGGGTTAGAGTGGGTGGTGCAAGGCAAGAGCATCAAAACATATGACAGGGAGAGAAGGAGGATTCAGATCAGGGAGAATCCTGGGAATTTTGAAAGGTCTTGCATGTTAGCTGAAGAATTTGACTTTATCTGAAATGTAAGGGGGGGAGATACCCTCAGACATGAGAGATATAGTGTGATCAGATTTGTGTTTTAGGAAAAAAAAAAAAAAAATCAGTGTGCCATGAAGTGGAGAATGGTTTGAAAGGAAGAGGAGAGACATAGGGATCCCAACTACCACGCTATCATAATGATACACTTGAGAAATGACAAAATTTATATTTGACAAATACTGTTAACCAAAGACTAAGACTTACTTGTGGGGGAAGGCAGCATGATGGCAAAAGCCACAGACCTGGCCCCTTAGTTTGTATTTTCTTCATCAGCTGTGGGTCTTGGGCAAATCTCTCAACTCACCTGAGCCTAAGGCTCCTTGGCCTAAAACAGTACAATTAATGGGATAAATACATACAGAATATTTCTTCACAGTGCCTGATACACAATAAAAATAATCATTGTTACCTTAACTCCCTGACTCTAAGTGACTATGTAATAAGTGACATCAATTATTTTATCTTCAGACAGAGAGGTTATTTATTTTTCCTCTGGGAGAGGTTGTATTCTTTGCCTTTGGTTATTTTTAATGGACAAAAAGCTGGATTTTTACACGTACATTCAAATGGAATTAATGAGAGTTTAAAATATTTTCCCCTATCTTCTTAGGCTTTATGACCATGTATCCTGTAGGGAAAAGAAATAAAACTAACCTTTTTGAAAAATATTTCCCTTCATTGCTTTCTGAAAAGGTAATTTTCATTTTTCTGATCTTGACTGTAAAGAGGCAGCTTTTAATGTTTAGACTAGAAAATGAGCAAAATGGATTTACGAGTGAACACAATGTTGTGTGAGGCTTTGAGGATCTTTCCCTCCCGTCTTTCCCCATGAAGAAAGTAAGAACAAAATTCAAAAGACAGGCATACTGATTAGCCACCGGTGGAAATGAGTGGAAGTCGGGAATGAGATCTTTTGGGAAGAACTCTAGTCAGGAAGGCTTTAAGGAGGTGGAGGGTGTCACTGGATCTTCATTTCAATCTGAATAAACTGGTGTCAGTGGGTAAGAAGCAATGAAAGGCCATCTGAGTAGGGCAGCAGAGCACAGGAGGCCAACTTGAATAGAGCAGGTGGTTTACACTGGAAATTTCTGAACTGTAGAACATGGTATATAATTGAGGCAAACATTTGATGGAAGGCTCTGACTTGAGGCTGTTTAAATATTGTGCACATTTTTACTTATTAGGAAGATATGTTGTTTCAACGAACATTAAATTTTGAGTCAAACAGAAAAGGGAACATAGGACTTCCCGAGCATTTTGATTCCTTCCTTCTCTAATCTATTTATTCACATGGTTGTAGGACAACGCATTCAGCATTCTAAAACTCTTCTTATTGAATTATACAAACAAAAAAGTGCACAGATCATACATATACTATTGGTAAGTTTCCACAAGCTAAACGGACCCATGTCATCAACACCCAGATCATGAGGCAGCATTACCTGCACCCCACGAGCCCCCTGAAACCCCCTTCCGTTCACCATCCCCAACTCCCACCCCCACAACCACTCTCTCAGCTTCTAAAAGCACAGATTATTTTTGTCTGTTTCTGTATTTATAAAAGGAATGCTTTTGTAAGCAGCCCTTCTCTGAATCCTTTCCATTCAACTTTATGTCTGTGGATTCATCCATCTTGTGGCGTAGTTGTAAATCACACGTTCTCATTACTCCATGATACTCATTGCACAGATATGCTACATTCTGTTATCCATGCTGCTGTTGAAGGAATGCTGCTGTGAACGTTTTCTAGCACGTGTCTTCTGGTGAACACACATCGTGTTTCTTAGCGGTATATATGTATGTAGAAATGGAATTGCTGGGTCCTATGCTGTATGCCCGTGTTCAGCTTTGATAGACACTTAGCAGTGTTCTGGAGTGTTTTTATCAGCTCCTGCCTCCCACCGGCAGTGAGTGAGAGTTCTGTTGCTCCAGAACCTTGCCAGGGTTTCGCACTTCCCAGGCATAGTACTGTTTTTGCTTTCATTGTAGCTTTTCTGGTGGGTACAGTGGAACTCCATTGCGGTCACAGCTTGTGTTTGCGGAAACAAACCCAAGCTGATAGCTGATGAGGCTGATCACCTGTCATTGGTGGTGGCCCGTTGGTATTATCTTCTTCTTTAAATTTCTAGTCTTTTGCCCATTTTTCATTGGTCATCTGGTGCCTTTTTGTGCAGGTGCAGATGGGTTCTTTAGCTATTAAGCTAATTCGACATTTTTTTTTAATTTAATGGAGTTTATGGATTTTTTTTTAAGACTCTAGATTAAGGAATTTCAGAAGCAAAAAGCCTTTTATAGAAAGGAAGTTTTATTTATTTCGTATGATGACTCTTTTGTATATTTCATTATCATCATTGCCCTGTGTCGTTTGTGTCCTGAATGGTCTCAGTTTAAAAGCAGTAATAACTGAGCGGTATAAATGCCAGAAACAATAATACAGTGTAGGTTTTTTTTGTTTTGTTTTCAGATGACAATTTATGAGGACTCCGTTGCAGCTCATCTTACAAAAATTCTCAATTCTGATGAACATGCTGTTGTCATATCATCTGCCAAGTGAGTGACAAAGTTGAAGCCATGAAACAGTTACACGGTGAAAATGCTCATTCCTACCATTTATGTCAGGTTTTTGTGATTTTTTTCCCTCCCCCAAAATCCATGAAGTAGTTCACAGAGTTAGATGTACTAAACTTGCATTTTTTTTTTTAAATCACTTTACCGTCTTGTTTGCAGTGGAGTATATATTTAGGGGGGGTTTTTTTGGATGCTTAATCTGAAATATTTTTATCAGAATAGTGCGATGTTTAGAGTTTAACTGATCTAAGCTCCTATTTAAAGAAGCATTCATATATTAACTAAATTGAATTTAAATAAAAATTAAAAATAAATAATAAATAAAATAAAGAAGCATTTATAATTAATTATAATATGAAAAACATTTCACTATAATTTATTATTTCCATAAACGCTACTCTTTAGGAATTGTTTACATCAGGAAGGGGAAAATATTGAAGAGATTTTTCAACATGACATCAGCATGTTTAAATCACATAATTATGTTTTAATTCAAAGTTGTCAGATTTTAGTTAAATCGATTCTGTACATGGAGCCAGAGCTACTTGATTTTATTATCCCAAATGTTGCGTGCCCGGAACTTAGAATTTTGTTTTGAAGCATCCTACACTGGTGTCCTAAGACCTAGAAAGTCAACTAGAGGCAAGGGCGAAACCCACTGCAATTTTCAGCTGATAAGCAAGGGTAAAAGCATGCTTTACAATTCTTGCTTAGCAAGGAAATATTATTCTTCTACAGAAAGAGGAGAAAAAGAAGAAGTAAAGAAAGAGAGTGAGAGATTCGGGAAGCGGTGGGGACAAAAATACACTGACTTTAGTATATTATATACTTACTTTGCAAAGAATCAAGGGAAGACAAGATAAATCATTATAAACAGATTTGCTTGTGACAGAGAATAAACATCGTGACAATTGCTTTTGATGCCATAAGCCCGAGGAATAGGAAACAGGGCTGGGCAATAGGAGGAGTTGAGCAGCTTAAGGCAGGCGTGCACCCTGGTTGTCCAGAGAGGTGCGGGGCAGACACGGTGTTCGATGCATACATAGAGCTGCTGCTGGTTTTCTGTTGCTGTTGTCTGGTTGGGTGTTTTCTGACGAATTGTGTTGCCTTGTGGCGAAATGTAGAAATCTCCAGTTTGTCCCAGGCCTCAGTACTCCCTATTGTCTTCCTCATCTTGGGCCAAATTTATATACCAAAGTTATTCCTTAGGTACTTCCTAAATTACTTCTACGAAGAAGACATTTGCGTTTACTGCCCTTGCCCTGTGAGTCAGATGCTTTTTTTATACGGCATTTAGAAGATCTTGCTAGAAAAGATGGAAAGTTGAAATGGAAACTTTTAAAAAGTATAACGTGTTATAAAAGAATTATTCTTTGATGCAGTTAAGTAAATATTTTATCTGGCCCCCTTTCATAGTTCGGATATTAGCAAATCCATAATATTGGCCTTCATGTGTTTGATTACTGCCTTCTATACATCTAACATATTTTTAATTGAGAGATAATTGACTTTTAACATTGTCTTTTGTGAAATAAGATCTTATGTAGAATTGCAATATTTTAAAAATTAAAATTGTATTTTGTTGTCATTAATAAATTGGACAGGATTAAATTATTAGTCATTTGTGAGAAAAATTAAGCTACGATTATAGATGACACCTACAATTTTGTATTTGATACAGCTTCTAGTTATTTCTGTATCTTATTTCGACTCTTGAAGACAATTTCCTTACTGCCACGTAACTGAAATAAAATACAGAAATAATTGAAAGCTGCATCAAATATAGTCTAAGATTTGCACCAAAAAAATGTGAATTCTAAAGTAGAAGCTGTCATATTATTTGTCTCTAATATCTCTAATGATTATTTGAGCATGTAAAAAATTATATCCTACATTTCTAAATGAAATTTGAATCAAGTATTTGCAGAATCTTTGACGTATTTCTGGAAAACAGCTTGAACACCACTGGAGTAAATCACAACGTTGGACCAAGTAGAAGTCATTCTGAGGTCCTAGCTGAGATTCAGCCATTTGCTAGCTTTGTGGCCTGTGTCCGTTTTATCAAGTGTAAGAGAGGAAAGCGTGCCTTTCCTTTCTCCCTCATGGAACTGTTGGGAGAATTAAGTTGCGTAATGAAATAAATATAGAGTTTATAAACTACAGAGTGCTATATTAAATTATGGTATCATCATCTCATGCTTTAATCAATTACATTCAAATTTTTTGTTTGACCTTGGCCTGGCTCTTTATCTAGGTTCTACTATTAGCTTTAGCTTTGGATTTCTCTCTGACTTGCTCATTTGCCTTGAAACAGATTCTGTTCCACCCCTGGCCCCCTCTTGTCACTCATCTGTGCGCCCAGACTGCCCAGTTGTCCTGCCTTTATAACCCCAGATTAAAATTTTAGGGGATTTGCCATAAAGAGGTACAAGAGAGAAAAAAGGACAAAATGTAGTAAATTTGTACTAATGATAGGGTATATTTTTAAGTTTAATTTTTGTTATGAACACTTTCAAACATTCATAGAAGTAGAGAGACTGGTATAATGGTTTCCCACCATACCCATCACATGGCTTCAGTATTTATCAAAGTTTTGTCATCCACTCCCACTTTCTTCTGCTATAGTATCTCTAAGCAAACCCCAGAAATCATTTTATTCTATTTTCAGTGTATATACCTAATAATCTTGTTAAAAAGTCTAATACAATTAGTAATTCTCTAAGACTATCTGTATACTCCATCCATATCCATTGTCCCTAGTTATCTCAAAGTTTGTTTTAAACAGTTGATTTTTTCAAATCAAAATCCAAACAAGGTTCAGATATTGCATTTGGGTTATATGTCCCTTTAAGACTTGTAAAGTCTGTAATAGTTCTCCATGCTTAAAAAAAATTTTTATTAAGGCATGATAACATGATAATTCTCAGTAGCTTAAGCTGTTTTAACTAATTTTAAAATGCTGAAAATACTGATGGAAAAGCTATATTCCATTAGCATAGCTGATATGTAGGTTAACTAATGTAGTTACTACGGGTTAACCAATATCATGTCAACAGTTCTTTGATTTTGAAATTTTGTCAGTTTGATATGGTAACATGAGTTACCTTCTGAAAATCAGAAGCATTAGTTAACAATTATAGGTCTCATTTACTAATAAAAATACAAAGCAAAGTTATTAAGTAAATGCAATTTGTTTTGTAGACAAAACTTCTTAGAAAATGGGATCATTGACCAGAAAAAATAATAAGATTGAAATGATTTCCATAGGATCACAGAATTTCAGAGTTGGTATCTATCATAGAGATAATTTAGGCAAACCCCCCCACCCCCCGCTCACTGAATAGATGAGGTAAGATATGTAGTTGTTAGTATGTTTCCTCAGAGCATAGAGATAGCTAAGGGTTTTTCTAGATTATGCATTGATACTTGTAAATCATCTTAAATTTCTGATTGTAACTTTTTTACATCATTTCAAGATTCTCATAGGATGACCCCTGCCTGCCCATATGTGCATCTCTTTGGGCACCATTGCCATATTTTTCTTAGTGTAGTGTTTGCATATTTTACTGTCATTTGCCCCTATTAAAAAATAAGTGGGGGAAAACTGATAAATGAAGATACTGCCGCTATTGATAAAAAGTATAGATCTCATGAATACAATATAATTGCGATGATAGAGGAAATCATCAAGCTTGCTAAATATGGACTTTTGTTAGCTTCCACAGAATATTTGGTGCAGTATCAACTGCATATTTGTGCTCAACTTGGAAGGAAGAGAACAAAACTAAAGATATAAAATGCTTGGAAATATCTTGTCAAAATTATGGCTAACATTGATTTAAGATATAATTAGGGATTAAAAATTTTTATAGCCCTGTGGGAAAATCCACATTCCACTTTCATTTATTTGATTTTTTTCACATCTTTTCCAGATGTCTTTATGCACTAAAATAGAGAACTGTATCAGTTGGAGAATATCTTCCATGTTACCATAGCAAATATATCTTAAAATTGTTTTTCTGCAATTTGCAAGTTCCCAGGTGGTATGACTTTGAAATCATGCTATTTTTAGGTGGACATTTTATCTCAACTTCAAGAAATCTACATTCACTATTTAGATATAGTAAAAGGTTCGTTTCTCCAGAGTTTAATATTTTACATCTTCTGGAATTTGAAACTTATTGGATCCTAAGGTAAACCATTTCTTCTGATCCTTCCCACAACTTACATGGCAAGTCTTCTCTAACACAGAATCATACTCTGTTTCTTCAGTCTCCATCTGTCTGAGCAACGTGGCACCTTTGTTGCCCCTTTCATTCCTAGGCTGATTGACCTACAGGCTCTGTCCCTAGGAGTTAGTAAAATACCAGAAAAAGTAGCTATGGTAATGTTATGGCATATGCAGTTTTACAAATTTTACAGGAGAAAATTATGTCAAGACATGTTATAATAATAGCAAGGAAAACATACCTTAGGGTTACATAAAGAGGGAGGACAGTGTCTCCGCTCCTTAGAGGTGGGACATCTGAAAGAGACTTTCAGTAAAGATCATAGAAAAAATTTAGTGACAGCCTGCCTTAATATTTCAAGAAGTTTTGTAAAAGTAGTATACATGAACAAAGAAGACAAAACTTGAGGTAAAGCACGTGACTTCATCTCTAATAGTAAGCTGGAGTCTCTAAAGAGATGTGAATTAAAAAGCCAGCAAAAAGGTTGAAGGTTAGGAAATATTACTTTTTGTCCAAGTAAAAATCTAGAAATAGTTGCCAAAAAATAGCAAAGAAAGCAAAATTTATTAGGAATAATTCGTAATTTATCTTTTAGATGATAAATGTGAAGGTTTGGATTGTGCGTGCGTGCGTGTGTGTGTGTGTGTGTGTGTGTGTGTGTGTGTACTGTACCTAATGAATGGCTTAATGTCATAATACTTAAATATCTGGAAACATAATCAGTATGTCCCTCAAATGCCAGAGAAAATTGCAAGTTTAATAGAAAAAATAATTGCTGGAATCTGCTTTTTTTTCCCTTCAAATTTCTCAATCTGTATCCATAATAAAGAGAAATACTTTTATTTTAAAATCGTCTGATTTTGTTTTCAGACTCACTATTAGCCCTTGCTACAAAAAGCTGATCACATGCCATTCTGTTGGGTGGTTTGTAATCCAACCCCAGTCCCAAAGGCTTTTGAAAGACAGATTTTAGTTAGTGTTTAGGGTTTCAGATAATTTTTTCTTTTGATCTATTTCTCTTACAAAGAAACCAAATGTAATTAAAAGCAACAAACAAGTAAAACCATATATTGTTGACACTAACAAGATCTAAATTAAGTTAGTCTTGCGTATGACTGTACTGGTTACCTTAAGGAAAAAAACAAATGGATTTACGGAGAATATAACTCAATTCAAGTGGCAGCTTGTTTACACAATCCCTTTCCTCTTCAGGAACAGTACACTTTCAAGATACCTGGATCATGAGCAGTAGAGTGACAGTGACAACATTAAGTGACAAATTTATCCTTTTTTGTTTTTTAGCATTGCAAGTCCTGTTATGAAAATATGTAAGAGGCTGGAGATAATGCTTTTTTTATTTTTAGTGATATAATATATGGCTTTTAAATTAAAAAAAAATTTTTTAATGAGAATACACAACTAAGAAATTGTTACTACATCACGACCCAATGAGATACTATATGTTGGCTAACTGTACATAATGCCTTTTTTTTTTTAAAGATTTTATTTATTTATTTGACAGAGATCACAAGTAGGCAGACAGGCAGGCAGAGAGAGAGGGGGAAGCAGGCTCCCTGCTGAGCAGAGAGCTCCATGCCGGGCTGGATCCCAGCTGAGATCATGACCTGAGCCGAAAGCAGAGGCTTAACCCACTGAGCCACCCAGGCACCCCAACGCTTATTTTTTTAATGAGATTTACAAATACTCTCCTCAAGAATTTAATTTAAATATTTGAGAAAGGCTTGTTGTGACCTTAAAATGATGATCAGTTAAATTACACAGAGCAGAGGGTTTTTTTTTTTTTCATTTTATTTTATTTTATTTCTCTTCAGTGTTTCAGAATTCATTGTTTATGCACCACACCCAGTAGAGCAGAGTTTATTTATGTGCATTTCCATTTATCACTCAGAATGTCTGGAACTTACTAGTAGTATGTGTTACACAGCACATAGAAGTGTGGGTTTTATATACAAATGGTACATATATACCTATACTTTGACAGTTTGCCTAATTGTGCTTGTTTTTTAAATATATTCGTAAATCAAACCAAACCAGTCCATGGGGTTTACTGAATTGCACTTTCTTTTCCTCAAAGGATACTATGTGAAACTGTAAAGGACTTTGTTGCCAAAGTAGAGAAGGCCTATGAAAAAACGTTGGAAAACACCGTTGCCGCAGATGCCGTGGCCAGTAAAGTAAGCGGGTCACCTTTAGGGCACACAAGTTTTTTACTGACAACATTAACACTGCCCTGTGTTTCACAGCTAAATTGATCAAATGCCTTTCTTGCCAAAACATCTTAAATCAAGTGAAAAACTACTTTTGAATCAGATGTGAGGGATTAAAATATATTCTATTTACGGTTACCCTTGAATGTGTAGGAAAAGTGTACCGCTGATACTGTCCGAAATCCTGAATTTTATAAACCAACTTGCTTTTCCCATGGATTGACATCCCCAAGGAGAAATGCTCAGCAGCGGGGTCACATGGGGGAAAATGCTGGACGGCTGGTGTTCCAATGGGGAGAGGAATGGCTTTCCATTTCCAGGCAAACTGGTCACCAGGCTCCCACCTAGTGTGGTTCTTCAGGTTCCCCAGGCATTATGGTCGTTGGCCCCTTTCAGGATACTGTTTCTTGCTTTGCCTTTTTCTTTATAGATTTTTCCCCCTTTATGAGCTTTTGGAGGCTAAAGTAAGAACCTTAAAAGCTCTTTTTACTTTCATTTGTTCTTTGCCAGACATTCTTATAAAAGGTTTGGCTTTCTTGGGCTTGCAAAGGAATGATCTCATATGCTATGGATGGTGGCTTAATTGAGTGAAAGGAAAAGGAAATAGAAATGAACATACATTGATGTTTTCAGCCTCTTTTTTTCTTATTTTTCTCTGTGGAGAGCTTCAGAAAACAGAAGACCTCTCTAGCCATATTTTTTTTTTCTCTTAACTATTTCTGGAGGAGGAAAGGACAGGAATCGGAGTGGCAATCAAAGGTGTATTAGGACATTCGTAGCATCAGCGTCAGCCCTCCGTGTTTCTTTACCCTTAGTCATTCGAGAGAAGCAGACAGAAATAAGGGCGGAGTGCATGTTTTTCTTACTGCATCTTCTTCTTCTTCTTTACCCTTGTGCATTTTCCTTTTTGCTCTTTTTTTGAGCCAGTAAGCCTGTAGGCACCGTTCACCCCTTTCACAACCAAAGCTTTGAAGGAGAGCTTACCAAGAACTCAGACAGACCTGCAGTTTATGATGCTCAAAACGGTACCTTACATCGATTACTTTAAAAAAAAGTTTACACAATGTTTTATATAAGTTTTGCCTAAGTTTTTTGTAGAATGTGTCACTTTGAAGTGAAGTGTTTGTTCTTTTAAGGAAAAATACCTATATAAAGATAATAGAGATTTTGTTTTATGGAAAAATAATTATATAAAGATGGTAGAGTTGGAATATTCTGGAAGCACACATAAAATTTACATAATTGTGCTCTTTTTTTAAAAAAAATGATAAATTATTTTGTCTATAAGCTATCTAAAAGTATCCTTTATAATGGATAGCCAGTTAATTGGTAAATATTAATATAGGCATCTTTCCTCTAAAATCAGAAGTGATTCGCTCAAACTGTCCTTTTCCATTTCCACCTGTGGAGATTCATTGCTGTATTTTTGTTTTCTTAGTGTTCGGTCCTAAATGAAAAGCTTGAACAACTGCTTCAAGCTTTGCACACAGATTCCCAGGCTGCCCCCGTTCTCCCAGGCATCCACTCTCTCATCGTAGAAGAAGATACCGTGGAATCTTCCAGTGAAGAATCCTTGTGTGAAAGCAAAGAACAGCTCGTGGATGACCCTGCAAAACCTCCCTCCCAGAAAGCTGTCAAGCCAAAGGAAATAATGTTGCGGGCAAACAGTTTAAAGAAAGCTGTGAGACAAGTCATTGAAGAAGCTGGCAAAGGTACCCGTGAACAAAGTTGGCCTTTGAAGAAGTTAGCTGCGTCCCCATCTTGTAAGCACAGTGGAATTTTCATATTGGTCAGACTGGACACACACACAAAATGTTCAGGCAGGATGGAAGATGAGGCCATTTGAATGAAATTTGTACTAAGTCCTATTTGCTGTTTAGGATTCACATACGATGTTAATGTGAGGAATGACATGTCAATGATACATAAAATAATATCTCAAAGATAAAAATACACTGGAAACATGGAAAATTACTTTAAGTTACAATTCTAAAATTTTATATCTTTTACCTAATGGGAATCTGTTGAGTTCTTAAAGAAAATCAAACCTGCAAACTACTTTGAAAATACTCTCTTAAATTCATTTCCTAAATGTTTTTTTTAACTAAATGTTGCTTTTTAAAGAGTCTATAAAGGTTCCACCTGTATTTTAATTTTTCGTATGAATATAATGGATATACTTCTCTTCGAATTTTAGTGTTGGTCTAAAAGTTAACTTTAACATAAAAATTTAATATTCAAAAACACCTTATTCAGGTGGTAACTTATAGATGGACTTGTATTTCATTCCCAAATTCTTTTATTTTTTTCTTCTGATAAAAAAGTAATATTTACAATTTCAAGTATTTAGTTTGATAATCTCTAGTCCTTATGGTTATCACCCCCAAATTTATTACATTAGTACTTGTGAATATGGAATTTCTTTTGCTTTAGGTTTCATTTTTCTTTTTAAGTGTATATTAATATTTATGGATTTTATTTTTACTTGTCCAAACACATTTCTCAGTTATGGATGACCAGAGTGTCCATCCCTGTGAGCCAGTTAGCCAGTCGTTTGATAACGACAGTACAGAAACAGATGAATCTAAAGAAGAGTCTAAAGACGATGACACAAGAGAGTCATTAACTGGTAAGAAAACTGTAATCCTTTTGGAATTAAATAGAGTACAATTCTGCTTTTCGTTCTCAAAAGGCTTATCAGCTTGAAGTAAACTTTTTATTTTTAACAAGTCTTTTCAGAAGGTAAAGCTTAGATAGTTATGAATACTAAAATAATAATGGTAACATTTAGATGATTGTCAAATACTCCCACATCCCGCTTTATCATATAATCTGGAGATTATCATAATAAACTAAGGCTTATGGAACCAAACATGGCTAAGTATCTTAATTTTCCTGAGGAAAAGGGAAGAAACATCTGAATCAGCAGATTTTAATCTGTTTTTAGCCCATAGATGCCTTAGAGAATTATGTGAAAACTGCACATTGAAGTGAAGTTGTGGGCACATTATACATGCCCAAAGTTTGCCTTTTAAATAATTGAGCAGTCCCCTGGATTCCATTGATCAGCCTGGATGGTTTGCTAATTCTTACTGCTAAATTAATCTTCAAAATCACTGGACATCTAATTACAACCCTATCTCTACTGAAATTATGTTTGCCAGGATATTAATATGTAGTCACTTGAAGAACATTAATTATTCCTCTGCCTCTTAAGTTTGAAGATGAATTTATACTTTTAATAGTTCAGATTGTATAAGGGAATAATTATTAATTTACTAGAATAAAGCAAAGCAGAAATTAAAGGATAATGAAGCTGAGAAGATAATATGAAAATAATTGCATGGTACTAATGAAAAGTCAACACTGTTAACTCAGAACTGCAGTCGTTATGTTTCTGCTTCACTTTCATTACACATGCGCTTGGGTGGATTGCTTAATTTCTCAACAGTTTCCTCATTTGTAACAAGGGGATAATGACATGCCTACTGGTTATGAAGGTTAGAGTAGTTGATATATGGGGAGTGCCTAGAATAGTGTCTTTGCCTAGTGCTGGGAAGGAGCATTTGCTGTCATTCTCACTTTTATTAGTGCTATTCCTCCCACTGCTGCTACTACTAATTATGTCAGCTTCGAAAGAATATCCCTTATTGTATGTAAAACTCTTAGAAACTTTGAATATAGCCCTTACAGTCTTCACATGTCTGGCATACAACCAATGTGTACATATTTGACACCCATAGCCCTTTTAGACTTGAAATGTACTTATGCCAGTATACAACTCAACTCTCTAACTTTATACCCTATAGACATTAAAGGTCAACCTGTAATCCTATACAGGCATATACTTTATAACCCTCTTGACAGATGGCCATTTAGCCTTTGGACTACTCGCTTTCCTTTTTTGGTTTGTTTTAGATATTTTATTTTATGTGTTTAAGTAATCTCTACATCCAGCGTGGAGCTCGAACTCATGACCCCAGGATCAAGAGTCGCAAGCTCTACGGACTGAGCCAGCTGGGCGCCCCACCATTCACTCTCACTACATCCCATTCTTCAAATCAGCTTTTATTGTCAGAAAGTTTTTCTTTACATTTAGCTTTGTATTTTCCTCCTTCCGTTTCTGCCCGTGAGCACACTAATTAATAAAGCTTCACGTATGATCACGGCAACAGCCACAACTGCTGACTTTGGTGCGGTGCTATGTGAGTACCTTAAAAGCAGGCTCGTGTGGCATCCTGTCTTCTTCCCATAACTTAATATCTTCTTTTCCACATGATCTCCTCAATTCTTTCACCAATTATTAACTCGATTCCAAACTTTTTAGTTTTCCTGGTTGCATTCAATTGGTCAATATCATGTCCCATTTTGAATGCAATCCCCCTGATATTTCGTACTCTAACACATCACACTGATAGCCATACACTACTCATTCTGGACATTTTTTTCATGTTAGAAGGACCACGCAAAATTTCTTCTTGGCATGAAGTAATATCTCCTCCTATTTTGTGCAAGTGATTTTTTAAACCTAATTAGAGTAGTACATGCTCATCCCTATGAACTTTTATCTTTTCGATTTGGAGCTGTCATTGCATCCTGTCAAAATCTTTTGAAGCTTGACTGTATCATCTCAAATTGACTTCATCTAGAGTTTCCTAAGCGGGACTTGTATGTCTTCACCCATTATAAAGCTGACTTTAGTAGGGCTGACAATGGGATTCTTACAGTATGCTGCTTGATCATTTCCCTTAAGACAAGGCATGGTTTCTTTGGAGGATTGGTTTTCCAGCACTCATTGCTAATGGTTTTCCAGCCGGCTACCATCCCATCTTACTATAGTCTCATGAACTGAACACTTCCATTGTAGTCTGCAAAGAAAGCTAAAAAATAAAGGTAGGCAACTCTAGATACTAAAGTTGAAATAGTCATAAATTTACACATATTGCAACATTTGGTACCTTAATATTGCAATATTTGTTCTTATTTTCTAGCTAGTAATCCAATTTAATGGGAATCAGTAGTAATAGAAGTATTTCTGTATTAAATAATCATTACTTTTTGAAGAGGGTCATTATATGATTAAATTATGCAATAATTCATATGCCTGAGATGTACAGTGAGGTATATTAATATGATCGATGAGATGTTATGTTTAAGAAGAAACATGAAACATTAATTTAGTTACCATCAATGTTACATCAATCTCAGTCACTAGGACGCTCTCTGGTTTTTATAAGAGATGAATATCAAAAGGTTGTTTTTATTAGAAATTAGTTCTGTGTCTCTCATCTGTCAAAAAAAAGTGTCTGTCTGCTACTTTTCTTTAGTGCAACTGGGCTGTTTTTGAAGAAAGAGAAGAGAATGTAAGATTAATGTGGTTAGTTTGTAATTAGCCTTAGGGAGAGTAAAGGTAATTAAATTTTTAAGTATTTTTAAATTGAATTTGAGAAATACTGTTTTTTTATTTAAACACCTGCCAATAGCTCCTAAATTAGTTAAAGATACTATTTGCTCTCCATTACGTTGCTGTAGTTTAGACAGAATTAAATCTTTTTTTGTTGACTTTGAGAGTAATTCTCTTTAGGAATAATCTTTTAAATGTATTGAACATTTTAAAGAATATGATAGACCTATCTGGGGCAAATTTTTGTTTTGAATATATAGTTAATTGAGAAGTGCAGGAAACATATATTGGTTTCATTTGAAAAAAAAATACTATTTTTCCTTTTATGTATGGAAGACAATGTTAACTCACATTTCACGTATTAGCTCTGGGAATTAATTAATTACATTGATCATTCACCCAACATTTATGGCAAAAGGATTACACCGGTGGCGTACATTTTAACACATATGTATCATTTTCAAAAATCATCAGGCTTCAAAATTTCTTTTTGTCTTTAAATATGGGTTGGACACATTCAAATTGTGAGTATTACTGACCTTCAGGTATGGTAGGCCTATACTTTTTACTAATTTCTGTCTGTTTGAAATGATCTATCCGGACATCTACCTGTGGCCGAATCCCTCCGAACAGTAAATCTCAAAGAAGCGAAAACAATGGTAAAAGAATAGGTAAACACAATGTAATATCTTCAGTTCAGCTCATTGATTTAAATACACATTAAATTATTTTTATGTCCTGAATTTATTAGAGCTTGCTTATTCTTGTAACTTTATCATTACCTTTTTTTTTTTTTTTTAAATCATCGGGACTTTTCTCCAATAGTTAAAGCTGCACCTGCACCTCGGTCTCCAGATGGCCGGGCAAGTCGTACCCAAGCTGACTCTGGCTCTGGTCCCGCTGTGGCAGCTGGCAAAGAGAACCTCCCTGTGCTCAACACCAGAATAATCTGCCCAGGTAGTATAGATTTTGAAACATGGCGTATTTGTAAGCATTTCTGTGAAAATGTATTAGGTACTCATTTCTGTGCACTATAGAAATGTCTTCTTAGAGATAAATGTCCCTTTGGGAGAATGTTCTTGTCACTCTTACAACCAGAGTCCAGATCCTTAGACTTCTGTGTGTGTGTGTGTGTGTGTGTGTGTGTGTGTATAAGAGTTATAAATAAGAAGGAAAGAAAGGAAGTACTAAAATACATGTTTTGGGGCACTGCCCTGAGAAGTTTTAATTGAGTTATACTAGAATACAGCCCAGGAATCTGCATTTACTAAGTACCCTGGGTAAATCTTATCCTATATTCTACTACCTCTTTGGTATCTCCATAGCTTTCCTCTTTGTTGTGAGCCACAAGTCTCTCCGTCATTTTTAGACTAGTAACACTGCTTCCTTTTGGAATATCTGAGACATCCATTCCAGCTCCGATGAGATGAATTGACCTTGAGATTGGGTTAGTACTAGTGGAAAGCAAACAACATGTGCAGCTAGGGAGGAGGAAAATACAGATGTCTCTGATGTCTCCTTAAATACCAGTTGTTTGACTTAGTGAAAACTCTCCAGATTTATTCCAGAGTTGGTTGGACCCAAGTTACACCCTGAAAAGTAGTCTGTCCTACAAGTTCTTTTTAAAGGTGAATCACAATTCAATAATGATAGTTGGAGACTTTATTATCATACTTTCAGTAGTTGATAGAAACAACTAGATAAAAATCAACAGGGAAATAGAAGACCTGAAAAACATATGAAATAAGCAGACCTACAGAACCCTCCAGCCAACAACAGCAGAATATTCATTCTCAGTCTCATACACATGGAACATTTTCCAGTATGGATCATAAATTAGGCCATTCAAACAATTCTCAGTAAATTTAAAAGGATTGAAATGATCAAAGGATGGTTTTTGACCACAGTGGAATGAATTTAGAAATCCATAACAGAAGGAAAGTTTGGAAATGTACAAATATGTGGAACTATGAGGGTCAAAGAAAAAAAAAAGTCATGAGAGAAATCTTTAAATCCTTTGATGTGAATGAAAACAAAAATACACCACACCAGAACTTACTTGATGCAGCCAAGGAAGTGCTTACAGTGAAATTTAAAGTTGTAAATGCGTATATTATAAAGGTAGAAAGATCTCATAATCTAACTCTGCACCTTAATAAACTGGAAAAGGAAGAACAAGGATGCCCAAAGCAATTAGCAGGAAGGAAATAATCATATTGGTGTGGCAATAAATGACATAGAGAATAGAAACCAATACAGAAAATCAATGAAACCAAAAGCTGGTTCTGTGAACAGATTAACAAATTGACAAGCCTTTGCTAGAGTGACCAAAGAAATGAAAGAGAAGATTTAAATTATTGAAATCAGGAATGATAGAGGAGAGATGTCACTAATGGCCTTACAGAAATAAGAAGGATTATAAGGGAAAACTATCAAATATTACATGCCAGCAAATTAGGTAACTTCAATGAAATGGACCAACTCCTGGAGACATGCAGACTACCAAAACTGATTCAAAAATGGAAGATCCACTAGACATATAACAAAATTTCCTGCAAAAAACAGGCCAGCATGCGTGAAGTTTTTAGTTAAGGAAGGTGAATAAGTTCTAGAGATCTGCTGTGTCCAACATTGTACTTACAATACTGCCTTGTACACTTAAAAATTTGTTAAGAGGATGGAGCTCATGTTAAGTGTTCTTAAGTGTTCGCAATAGAATAAAAAGTCAAAACAAACAAAAACAAAAAGAAAAACAAAAAAAAAAAAAAAAAAAGGAAAGAAAGAAATCTATCCCTAAGTCCTGGGCTCACCTAACTCATTTTTCTTTTCTAATGGTTAACTGGTAAGCCCTCATCATTGGTCTACCTCTTAATGATCTTCAAATGAATTCATTTTACATTTTGATCAACTTTCCTATTTGCCCTCATAGTAAGGAGGAGTAGTTGGTCTGATCAACTGATAATCTGCCATCATCAAAATAGTATGTTTACTTTGTTTTTGCAAATTCTGGGTTGTTGTGGCTACCCATGAAACTTTGTTCTCTCGGGATACCTAGGTGGCTCAGTCAGTTAAGTGTCTGATGCTTGATTTTAGCTTGGGTCATGATCTCAGTGTTGTGAGATTGAGCCCTGCATTGGGCTCCATGCCCAACATGGATTCTCTCTTCTCTCCCTTTCTGTCTACCCCTCCCTACTGCACTCTCTGTCTCTAAAAACAAATAAAAACAACAAAAAAACAAAAACTATTTTCTCTCATAAGTCAAAAAGAACAAATGAATGGATAAAAGAAGGAAGGAAGGAAAGGAGGGAGGGTGGGAGGGAGGAAAGAAGGAAGGAGAGACAATCCATAGGATAAGAGAAAATAGTTGTAAATGGCATACCTGATAAGGGACGAGTATTCAGGATATAAAAGCAACTCTTAAGATTCAACAATGAAAAGACAAATACCCCAATTTAAAAATGGGCAAAGGATCTGAGTAGACACTTTCCAAGAGAGATACACTGATGGCCAATATGCACATGAAAAGATGCTCACCATTATTAGTCATCAGGGTAATGCAAATCAAAACCACTATGAGATACCACTTTACCTTACTGGGATGGCTATGATCAAAAAGGAGAGATAATAACAAATATTGGCAAGGACATGGAAAAATTGGAACTTTCATACATTGCTGGTTGGAATATGAAATTTGGACAATCAGTTTGGCAGTTCCTCAAAGAATTAAATACAGAGTTAACATATAATCCAGTAAACTCCTAGTTATAGACCTATGAGAATTAAAATACATGTCTACACAAAAACTTGCACGTAACTGTTTATAGCAACATTACTCATAGTAGCCACATAGAAGACAACCCAAGTAATCGTCAGTTGATGGAGAAACAAAATGTGCAATATGCAGACAGTGGACTATTATTTAGCCTTTAAAAAGAACAAAGCACTGATAAATGCCACATGATTGCCTCCTAACATGTTATGCTAAGAGAGAGAAGCTTGACATAAAAAGCCACACATTATGTGATTACATTTATACGAAATGTCTAGAATAGTCAAATCCATAGGGAAGGAAAGTAGGTTGGTGGTTTCCAGGCTCTGGGGATGTGGGAATGGGTGGAAAGGAAAATGACTACCAACAGTTATGGAGTTTGTTTTGAGAGTAATAAAAAAATGTTCTAGGGACGCCTGGGTGGCTTATTTGGTTAAGTGTCTGCCTTTGGCTCAGGTCATGATCCCAGAGTCCTGGGATCGAGTCCCCCATCGGGCTCCCAGCTCAGTGAGGAGTCTGCTTTTCCTTCTTCCTCTGCCTCTCCCCCCGACTTGTGCACACTCACTCTTTCTCTGTCAAATAAATAAATAAAATCCTAAAAAATATATTCTAAGTTAGGTAATAACTGATCATTGCACAACTTTGTATATATATACAAACAGCTGAATTATACACTTACTTAAAAGGTGAATTTTATGGTATGTATATTATATCTCAATGAAATATTAAAATAAAAAAGATAAATACAGAGCATGTTTGGTTCTGGAAAGGCCTCCATGTCTAGAGGTTATATCTATTTAAACCTAGAACCGTGGGATGACTTTCTGGGCTAAAGCTGTGAATATGGCTAACCTTAAAATATTATACTGTTGGGGGTGCCTGGGTAGTGAAGTCAGTTAGGTCTCCCACTCTTGGTTTGGCTCAGGGCATGACCTCAGGGTCATGGGATGGAGCCCTGCGACGGGCTCCGCACTTAGGATGGAAAGTCCCTCTCCCTCTACCCCTTCTCCCATCCCCTGTGCTTGTTCTTGCTCCCTCTCCTTCTAAAATAAATGAAAGATAAAAGTTTAAAAAAAAGAAAATATTATACTTTTCTTTAGGCAGCTGGAGTCTGGTTCTTCACATCTCCAAACTGTTCTTTTTTTCCTTACCAGAATATTTTTTTTTCATTTATTCACTTATTTAGAGATAAAAGAAACTGGCATGACTAAATATGCCATAACGCATTAAGCTATGAAATAAAATTCATCTTGATTATTTGATAATCAGCTAAACTTTGAGGCTAAAATAAATAATAATCTTCTAAAAGAGCACACAGTTGAGGAAAGGAATGTTTGCTCAAGGACTTTCTTCCTAATTTCCTAGTGTTTCTCAATTACATATTTTTCCTCATTCTTCTTTCCCTTTTTTTGTTCACTTAGGCCCATATTACTCTATCTTCTTTCTAGAGTTTAATGCTTCTAGAGTCAGTAATTAGTTGGGTAGATGATAGCTTTGAACATCGTAACTACTTAGTAGAAAACTAACTAGTTGTTGAAATAAGCTCGAAGTTTTACATATTTAGAGGTAAGATAAATGCTTCATTTTTTATGTTCAAACACTGTATTTTTCTAAAACTCATAAATACCTGTGTTTACTATTTTTGTATTTACTCTTAACACCAACAGAGTTTTGTGTATGTCAGTTAATTTTTTTTCCAATGATTTTATTTATTGGAAAGAGAGACAGAGAAAGAATGGGGTAGGGGGTGGGTAGGGGCAGAGAGAGAGGGAAAAGGACAAGCAGACTCCGCACTGAGCAGGGAGCCCAATGCAGGGCTTGATTCCAGAAACCTGAGATCATGACCTGAGCCAAAGGCAGATGCTTAACTGACTGACCCACGCAGGCACCACTCTGTTAATATTTTTAATTGAAACTATTATTATCTATGCTTTGAGAGTATGGACATGGTAACTCTGTAACATTCTTGGTAATTCACTCTTTATTGTAAATTCCTTATAGACTACTGCTTCATTTGCTATAACAAAGGAAGTAATATTTATTTGTTGAAGTTCTAGAATCATTAGAATGGTAAATGAGAAGCTGTCACAAAGAGACTCTTATTTGGGTCTTCATCTGCTGCATTTTTATGACAACATATAGATCCTAAGAAGGCTCAAAAATCTTAAAATTACCAGTGTCATAGTTCTTAGTTTTGGCTAATGAGAAGAGCAGACACTGAGAAACCATGCTTTGGGGGCAAGGTGTCTGAGACCAGGCCTGAAAACAATGCACTGGCTCTTTCTCTGTCTTTTTCTTAACATGTGATCCTGTATGTATTTATTTTTCTGGCCAGGTTTAAGAGCAGGACTAGCTGCCTCCATTGCTGGGAGTTCTATAATCAACAAAATGTTACTAGCAAATATTGATCCTTTTGGTGCAACGCCATTTATCGACCCCGATCCAGATTCAGTGTAAGAAAATAGTTTTGTAAATATCTTGTTTTGGCTTTTCTTGTTTCTGCTTTATACTAATGGTAACATTGTCAGTGCATTATAAGAAGTTTGGCTCCCCATACAAAAAGGGTCATCAGAAAATTCCAAAAGTTGATATAATGATGAGTACATCGATGCATTGGAAACACAGTGGTTTTCATGATCTGTTCCTGAGGTAGGTCCTGTCCAGCCCATTGTCTCGGATAACAACCCTATGGCAAAATGAGGCACAGCTATATTCACTTTTCCGTAGAATAGTATATTCATCGGCATCTTCATAACCATATTTTTGCTATTCCTTTTTCCTCCTTTCTTCTTGGTCTTGCCAAATCGCTCATCTTTCCCCATCCAACTTGTAGGTTTATTTACTTCAAGAAGCTTCTTGGTCCACATGGATCTCTTCCCTTCTTAAAACCACAATTTTTTTTTTGGAAGTTCAATATGAACTTTTACTTCCGTATTTAATTTTGCTTTTGTTATATCTCATTTCTCTAATGACAGTCCTCAAAGACAGTAAACGTCTTTATACTTTCCAAAGAAGCCCAAAGAGTGGGCTGGACCTGGTCATGTTACCACTCAGTAAATATTTGTCCATTGATAAGAGTACAAGTGGAGAGAAATTTCCTTGCACCTGACTGCAAGGCCCTCCCATTTGTGTGTTTGGTGAGGGGCTTACAAAGGAAGCAGGAACTAAGGTTTTATCACAATTAATAGAAAAGCATTACCATGACTCTGTCTCTGCTTTGCCTTGCTCACTATCCCTTTATATCATATGTACGAAAAATGACATATATGTACTGGGCTTGTACACATGGCATACGAATAGGAAATAATTCCTGCTAAGTTTTAGTCTCATCTGTAAGGCATGGAAGCTTAAATGCTTTTAGTGCTATTTTGTGTGCAAATTGTAATTGTTGTAATGAATCTGACTTTATGTACTTTTCCTTATTATCACAGAGATGGATATTCAGAAAAATGTGTCATGAACAATTACTTTGGGATTGGATTAGATGCAAAAATTTCATTAGAATTTAATAATAAGAGAGAGGAGCACCCTGAAAAATGCAGGTAATTTTGGTAATAGTAATAATGTTATTACATGGAGGTAATTCCACTTTAATTTCATTTATTAGCTGTTTTGCTTGCTCTGCCTTTAAAGAGTAAATCAGTAATAGCTATTGAATTGTCTGCCAATATTTATTTCAGGAGCCGAACTAAAAACTTGATGTGGTATGGAGTCCTTGGAACCCGGGAGTTATTACAGAGATCATACAAGAATTTAGAACAGAGGGTTCAACTTGAGGTAGGTTCATCTTGAAGTAAAGATAGTTCAGATTATCTTACTTAGAAAAATAATGACATTTGAGGAGCTGATTTGGTCTCAGTGACTCTTCAAGTGTTTAAACACCCATTGGAGGTGATTATCGACTTTATACTAAAGGAGGTATAGACACTGGCTGTGGATGACACATTAGTTATCATTATCATTAGCTCCTGAAATGTGGATGGTTCTGTAGCATCGTGGTGCTCCCTGAGAAGGTGGAGCTATGAGAGGACATTTAAAGGAGAGCATTTCTAACGAATTTTCACAGATTTTCTCATTTACATTTACAAATTCTGACCCAATTCTATAATGCCTGACATTTCACAAATCCCTGAGAAAAACATTCATAGCATATAGACTCTTTTGATTGAACTGTGTATTTGTTCCAATTCTTACAATAGTAAATTAAAAAGAGATTTTGAGCATTTAAATTTTTTAGTAGTTTTTACTAATGTAAGGAGGAAATTAAGGATGGCAAAAGTTTTTTAATCTCCTTCACTAATAGGAGAAACAAGATTGGGGGCATGGCTCTGAAAAGTCTAATTTCTGTGAATTTTATTTTCTTTCCCCCTTGTCCCGTATTCACAGTTGATGCTGATACACATGTCTTTCCTACCTTCTATCTTTTTATAACCAGATATCTTTAATTAAAGGAAAAGCCTATGTACAGAAAAGTGCAAATCTTCAGTCTACAGCTCATTAAATTAAACAGAGCGTTATTATTTTAGGTGTTATCTAGACTACAGAATTGCCTGGCTCATTCATTATCAACTAAATGTCTGAGTAAAGATAAACTCATTATACCTTCCACTCTGGAGCACGTACATATGATCAGCTGGTTTGGCTTATCCTCGCTGAGAAATTAAGATGGATGTTACTGGCGTATCTTCCATTTCCTTTAAGTTAGTTATATGTTTTAAACTGCTTGTTCTAAGGGCGCCTGGGTGGCTCAGAGGGTTAAAGCCTCTGCCTTCAGCTCAAGTCATGATCCCAGGGTCCTGGGATTGAGCCCCGTGTCGGGCTCTCTCCTTGGTGGGGAGCCTGCTTCCTCCTCTCTCTCTCTGCCTGCCTCTCTGCCTACTTGTGATCTCTCTCTGTCGAATGAATAAATAAAATCTTTAAAAAAAATAAAAAATAAAAATAAACTGCTTGTTCTAAAGCACACAAAGATACAGATTCAGAAAAAGTTTATTATTCTACTCAATACTTAATGTTTGTTCATTTTAATAAATACACAGTGAGCCTTAGCTATATGCCAGGAATGGCCCTAGGTGCTAGGCTAGAGTATAGACCTTTGAATGTATTTTCATGAAAAAGAAAAGAAAATATAAAAAATGCACGAGGGATATAATCAAGTATAAAATATTCTCAGTTATCTAAAATGGCTGAAAATTGGATTTTCATTTGTTCTACAGTTTAGAGAACATTTCAATCAGGCATTAAAATGCAAGTTTTATAAACTTATGTTAATTACTTTTTATTGTAAGAATTAATGAAACTATACCATCTGTTGTACGTATGACCTCTGCAAGCTCTCCTCTTTTAAAATGGAGTAAACCTTCTATTCAGTAAGAATTTGCTTACCTGTCATGTATAATTACTCACCAGCCAGAGGACATTTTTTCCCCTATCTAATGGTAATTTTTATTTTCATTGAAGTTGATTAATGAGAAGACACGGAGAATAAGATACTTCCCGACATTCATGGTTTTTCTTTACTTAGTTTTGGTTCTGACTACTTGAGAAACCCAGCTTTGAGTTTGGCCAGCCAACTTAGTTACAGAGCAGGAGTGCAGTCCCAGGAGTTGAGAGACCGGCTAGATGAGGTGGTTAGGACCCAGAAGCCCTCCCTGAACCTGTTTGCAAAAGGACACTTGACATGAGCACAAAGGTGACCATGATGCAAGTGAGAATATTGTAAGTGATCTGAAAAAAACTCCAGAAAAGTACGGCCTGATTTTGACAGAAAGAAGAGGTACAATGTTATCTTAAGTCGGTTTTCTGTAACGACTTCTGCCATAGGAATGTATATGCTTCAAATTTTTTAAATTAGAAAAACAAGAGAAGGTATTGTGTAGGAATATATTTGCAGGAAAAGCAAACATTGCCAATACACTTCCCACTGTCATCCTTTGTCTTGGGTGTTCGAGGGGCTTCCCAACTAGCAGTTTTGCTCTCTTTATCTAACCTCTAAGCTTTTTACCTTACAGTGTGATGGGCAGTATATTCCTCTCCCCAGTCTGCAAGGAATAGCAGTGTTGAACATTCCCAGCTATGCAGGAGGCACTAACTTTTGGGGTGGAACTAAAGAGGATGATGTAAGTGTTTTCTTTTACCTTCCAGATGCTAGAGACTGCCCATATTCCTTGGCCTGTGGCCCCTTCCTCCATCTCCAAGGCCCACAAAGGCAGCCTGAATCTACCATTGCATCATTTAGATCTCCCCAACTGCCCTTCTCTTCCACTTTCAGTGACTTTCGTGGTTACATTGGGCCCAGTACGTCATCCAGGATAATCTCTCCTTCTCAAGGTCCCTCCTATCATGACATCAGCAAAGTCTGTTTTGTCACGTAAAGTAACATTCATAACCTCAGCAGATTAGGACATGGACATTTTGGGAGTGGGAAGGGGGATTGATATTATTCTGCTTACCAAAATACCTTCTGTATTTTATAACTATCTAAATTTGTGTCTGGTACTATTATTTTTATCTTTAGAAATGTTAAGAGGGCTCATTTGGCCTTTGAAATTTAGGGCTGTGTTTTGACAGGAAAGTCAAAAAAAGGAAAAACACAACCTAGCAAATGTAATAAATGTTTTAAAAAAATAATAAAATGAAAGAGAAGGAACAATTGTTAAGATCTACATAACAATAAAAAAAGGATTATCACAGTCTTTGAAGAATCACATGTAAGGAATGATAGCCCCATTTATTTCGGGCTTGTAATGCAAGAGCTCCCACTGACCCATTTTTTCAGGGTCCTTGAATGAGCAGAGATTAGAGTATAACATAAATTGGAATATATTTGTGATTTTCATTATGTGAATGTATTTCAATCTTATTGAACTATAAAACTTATGTTAGCAGCTAATTTTTTTCTTAGCCTGTAACTACTCAAATATTTTAAAGGGAAGAAATCAGTGAGATAAAGATAAATAAAGCTAACAGCACCTACTAGGTAATCAGATAGTGTTCTCAGAACTTCACATTCATTACTAACAACCACAATTTTAATCTAAATTTTACCAGTGAAGAAACTGACACTAAGTTCACACAGGAAGTAGCAGAGACGGGATTTTAAACCACACACTCTGCTTACAGAGATGATAAGAAATCATCAATGTTTGCAAATTCATGTCCTGATATTTTCAATGAAAATTTTAATCGGGATATTACTTGATACTGAACAATTTTTTTCAGAGGCATAAATGTTTATCATTATAGTCAAAGAGAGAATAAAAGGAACAAAGTGATACAGCTGGAATTTAATTTTTTTGATTCAATTAATTTTGTGAAAAATGCATTTAACATCAAGACCAAGTAAGCCTGCATGATTTTTATTCTCTGAGGTGTCTGTTGCCATCTTCTCAAATGCCTTAAAAAGTTGTTGTATTAAGATATTAAGCACATTTTACATACCAATTGCTTGTAACACATTGAAAGACTTGCCTTAGAACATACCAAGGGACCTGGGTATTTTACGATTCCTAAAATCACATGCACCATTTTATCAAGACATCTGAGTTATGTGTGAACAGATATTTAATACATTTTTATACAAAGGTGGATTATTTTGTCGTTGGATTATCATTTCCTGGTAACGTTTACTTACTTTTCTACTTACTATTTTCCTAAGTTTTTGTTTTAATATGTATATTACAGAGTTTACATTGCTGATATGCCACTTCATGTAAACCTTAACCTCATCAGGGGAAATGTAATGTAGTTTTTCCTTTCAGATATTTGCTGCACCATCATTTGATGACAAGATCCTGGAAGTCGTTGCAATATTTGATAGCATGCAAATGGCAGTTTCAAGGGTCATTAAACTGCAGCATCATCGAATAGCCCAGGTTTGTTTTCTCTGATCAAACCTGACTTTGCAACTTGGGGGACTGGGGAAGCTATTCCAAAGGACTCCCGCACTGTCTATTCATCCATAAAATGGTAACTTTCTTGTCATGTCAATTATTATTATGTCATGATAATTGGAAAAAGATACATTCCATTCCACCGAAATGGACTAAAAGTCAGGCTTGAATGCAGATTGTCAGTTTCTCAGGATGATTTGTTTTCTAAAATGGATCATTTTATTTCAGTGCCGAACAGTAAAAATAACTATATTTGGCGATGAGGGAGTCCCAGTGCAGGTGGATGGTGAAGCATGGGTTCAGCCTCCAGGAATTATCAAAATTGTGCACAAAAACAGAGCTCAGATGCTAACAAGGGACAGGGTATGTAAAAAAATATACACATATTCTTCTAGATTTTTTTCAAGCCTCTTAAAAATACTAAACTGTGGGGGCACCTGGGTGGCTTGGTTGGTTAAGTGTGTGACTCTTGATCTCAGCTCAAGTCTTGATCTCAGGGTTGTGAGTTTAAGCCTGCATTGGACTCCACGCTGGGTGTGGAGCTTACTTAAAAAAAATTCAGTTGTAATGGAAAATAGAAACCAAGGAAAAATACTTAAATTGCCTTGTAAATCTAACATTTAGGTCATTGTGGTTTTAAATATGAACAAGTATTTAGTTTTTTAAAAATTTAATAGACTAGGGACACCTGGGTGGCTCAGACGGTTAAGTAACCAACTCTTGGTTTCTGCTCATGTCATGATCTCAGGATTGTGAGATTGAGGCCCACATAGGGATCCACACTGAGCATGGAGCCTGCTTGGGATTCTCTCTCCTTTCCCCGCTTTCCGCAACCTGGCTCGTATGTGCACATGTGTGCACGCTCTCTCTTTCTAAAAAAAAAAAAAAAAAAGTTAATAGTCTATATTTTTATTATTTTTTAGGTTTACAGAGAAATTGACCAGAAAATACAGAGAATTCTAATTCTATTCCCACATATCTCCTTACCTCACTAATATCCAATCCCTTATTATTAACATCTTATATTAGTGTGGTATATTTATTATAGTTAATGAGCCAGTATTGATAATTATTGATTAATTAATGTCATAGGTTACTCTTCATGTTGTACATGTTACAGTTTTTAAGAAATATATAATCACTTATATCCACCATGATAGTATCCTACAGGCTGGTTTCATTACCCTCAAAATTCCTTCTGTTCCACCTAGCCATCGCTCCCTCTCTTACCTCAACCCCTGTCTCCATAGTTTTGCATTTTCCAGTATATGTTTTAATTAAGATCAAAGACTCTCAGTATCCATCTTGACCTTGTCTATTATGCATTTCAAGTACAGATTGAAGCCTAAATTGAAGCTGTCTTTTAAAAAACTCTTCAGTGATACCCTCCTCATCACTGATTACATTACTTATTTGTTATGATAACACTGGAAAACTTGAAGAATAGCTTTCCTGTATTTTAAGATTTATTTAATGAAGCTTCAGATTAGGAAAAAAAAAGCAGTCATTTCAAAGTCTTTCTTGTAACATTTAAATACACTCTTATGTATGGGTCTCAGAGTTCCAACCTAACAGTTCCTTGCAACATTGTTGTTAAATAGGCTTTTGAAAGCACGCTGAAATCTTGGGAGGATAAACAGAAGTGCGATTCCGGTAAACCAGTTCTTCGAACTCATTTGTACATCCAGCATGCCGTTGATTTGGCAACAGAAGAAGTGTCCCAGATGCAGCTCTGCTCCCAGGCCGCAGAAGAGCTCATTACTAGGTAGGGTGGTCCTGCTTGCCGCAGGCGAGAACAACTCTGGTCTTGACCAGGTTTGTTTTTTAGTTTTGATCGGTAATGTCCGTCGTTGGGACTATCTAAAAGAGATGCATTTACTCTCCTACTTCATTTATGCCTCAATTAAACCCTCTCCAGCACACACACACACACACATACACACACACACACTCCTGTGTTCTCTGCAGAACAGACTTTGGACTTCCTGAAACCCGGTGGAGAGCTTGGCTAACTTACCCTACCACACAGTGCTCTTTTCTATTACTGTTTATTTTCCCAGTTTTACACAGTCTTTGTGCTCTACTACTTATGTGTATGTTACCTTATAATTATTAATTAAATGCTTCTGGAATGTAAAAGGAAATATAAATATTAAGCCCTGCTCCCAAGGAAATTTAGATGGGAAAATTCTGAGAACCAGTTTCCAAAGACCCATCTAGAGATTGGGAGACCAACCACATAGGAGTTTATTCTAGTAGACAGAAAGGGAAGAGATGAAAACACAAGTTCCAGGAGCGTGAAATAGATAAAAATCACGATGACCCAGGAGTCAACTTTGTTGGGGGAAGGGAGGCCAACCATGGACAAGTTTCTTATCCCCTCTTCACCTAAATCTTCTCTACCAAATGGAGATAGTAAGAGCTACTCTGTAGGTCATTGTGAAAGCTAAATGAAACCCACCACATAAAGAACTTAATAGCACATCACGTCTGGCATATATAGTGTTCTATGAATGGTAGCTATTATATTCTTTCCACTTTCATCTGGTCACTGATAAAGATGTTGAAAAAGAAAAGAAGGAAAACAAAGCTCTTTAAATATTTGTTGGAGGACGCCTGGGTGGCTGAGTTGGTTAAGGGACTGCCTTCGGCTCAGGTCATGATCCCGGAGTCCCAGGATCCAGTCCCACATCGGGCTCCCTGCTCAGTGGGGAGTCTGCTTCTCCCTCTGACCGTCCCCCCCTCATGCTCTCTCTCACATTCTCTCTCAAATAAATAAATAAAATCTTAAATAAATACATAAATATTTGTTGGAAACCTAGAATGTACTAGATGTTAGAGATATGAGAGAAAAGATTTGAACTTCCTACTGCTAGAGACCCCAACATTCAGAATTAGAATAAAGTATGATAACTCAAGATACTGAGTGGCTTAGAAGCAAGGTAAGAGAATATGAGTATTTAGTTAGTTAAATGCACAAAACTGTATTATTGTACATCTCAGCCTTTTATCACAGAGAGATTCGTTTTAGGGTAATATAGACAATGTCTGTGGACTCCCAATTTACAGGGTTTTGGGTTTTTTTTTTTTTTTTTGCTTTTCCAGCTTTATTGAAGAAAATTGACAAAATCACACACACACATATGTATATATATATGGTCTACAAATGATAATCTGATCTATGTATACGTTATAAAACAATTACCATAATCAATCTAACTAATAAACTATGGAAAATAGTATGGAAGATTTTTCAAAAAATTAAAAATAGAACTGCAGCATTTTCTTGAAATCAAAATATACTATCTGTATTATCTCCCTTGAAATCAAATATACTTCCTAAATTAACTTCCTGTCAACTAACCAAATAACCTTATCAAGAAAAGGGAAGTGAAGGTTGGCCAGACCTGCTTTTGGTTAACCTAATTTGGTTCCCCATATGCATTGTTGTTGTTTTTAATTTGCAAGAGATGAAAATCAGCCTCACTCATCTATTTTCAGAACTTACTCATTCAGTATTCAACAAATAATTTTGAATCTCTTCTGCATGCCAATCACCATATTCAGCAGTGGGGGGGCACCAAAATGACTGGGTTGTAGTCCTCTTCTTAATTTGTGGACAGGATAGTGAGAGAGAAAGTGTGGCTAGAGTGCCATCACAGGGCTCAGTGGGGCACTGTGGATACACAGAGGAGGCCAAGAAAGCAAAGGAGGGCTGCCTGAAAAAAGTGATCTCAGCCAAGTCCTGATGGGAGAGTAAGAGAAGGAACATTCTCAACATGGGAGCAAGCTTGGGCAGAGGTCCAGAGGAGTGTGAATGGAGTACTTTTAGGAAATCTTAGGGAACTGGGGATGGCATGGTATATGTGAGAGAGTAGGAAATGTGGTTGGAGAAGGGAAGAGGGGCCAGGTCTTATCCAGATGTTTCTGGAAGCAATGTGTAGCATTGTTTGCAAGATAACAAAGCAAGGGCTGGGTAAATGCTCTTAGAATGGTCCTGATAGGAAATGATGGACGGAAGTAGTAGAGATGGAAAGAAGAGAGACTTAAGATTGATTATGATCTAAAATTGCTAAATGGCCTGAATTAGGAGACAGGATGACCCTCAGGTTCTAGTGAATGGATGGATGGACTGTAGAACCTTTGATGGAACCATAGGATTCAGGAGGGAAAGTAGAGTTGAGAAGGAAAATGACAGGGTCCGTGTTGGACTTCCAGAATTTAACCTACATTAGAAATATTTAGGAGGAGGGGCACCTGGGTGGCTCAGTCAGTTAAGCATCCGACTCTTGGTTTCCGTTCACGTCATGACATCAGGGTTGTGAAAAAGGGGTTCACATTAGGCTCTGCACTCAGCAGAAGTCAACCTCTGTACCACCCCCTCCCCTGACTCATGAACACATGTTCTCTCTTTCTCTCAAATAAATGAATAAATCTTAAACAAAAAAAAAGAGAGAGAGTGAGAGATCTGGGAGGAAATTTTAGTGGGCAATTGGAAATGTTGATCTGAAATTGATTTATTTCTTTTCCTTTTTTTGAAAATTAGAATAGCATTTACCCACCTGCATTCTTCTGATAAGATAACCTTTCTCAAGGTTATCAGTAGAAATATTTGAGATGACATTTGCAAATTTCTTTGTGGCTTGGATATCAATTGTATGATCTTGAGGAATTAAGCGCTCTCGTACTTTCCTGTTGATTCAACAATACAGGCCTAGTCTCTTTTCTTGTTTTACTCTTTCTAGTGCAAAGATCATTCTCCTTGTAGATGTTAGAAGCAAAAAGGATTTGCATAGTTTTGCCTTCTTGCTCATCCTCCAACTTTCCATCATTTTCCAGCAATTGGTGGAACTTGTCCTCTTTTTTCTTCTTTGGCCTTAGTGTCCTCCAGGATCCTGTCTGTTCAGGATATTCTTGAATGTTCCAAGATTCCAAAGGACTATGGTACAATAGACTTTAGAGCTGATAGACATAGATTCAAATCCTGGCTCCATGACTTCTTAGCTTTGCATATTTACCAAATCCCTCAAGGTCTTCATCTATAAAGTGGAGAAAATTAATCACAGCTACCTTTTAAGTTGTGAATATTAAATTAGATAATGTATGTAAAGCACTTAGCGTACAGATGATAAATATGGCCATGTTCTTCCCCTACTTTGTTTTATTTGTTCCTGGTTGAATTTGCAATGAATAAAAGATGAAAAAAAAAAAAAAGGTGAAGTTTCTGCTCTGCCCCATCTCACTTGCCAGTGATACTTCAAAATGAAGTGTTGCTGTATTTTGTTCTTCCAAATTGTACCTCAGTGTGTTTCTCTGTGATTCTATGCCTAACTTTTCCTATAAAGATTTTGGGTTTTACATTCTTTGTTGCAGCAGGGTCTGAATTTTGTAAACCTATGCTTTGTTATTCATAATTGAGCTGAACCCATTTAAAAATATTCCCTAATCTTTTTTTTTTCCAACTTGTCTCATTCTCCCATTTCTACACTTGCAGAAAATCAGCAATGCTCAAATTTTTTTTGTTCACCTGCCTCATTTTTGCTTTCAGGATCTGTGATGCAGCCACAATCCATTGTCTCTTGGAACAAGAGCTGGCCCATGCTGTGAATGCATGCTCCCACGCCCTGAATAAAGCCAACCCACGCTTCCCAGAGGTGAGGCGCTCGTGGTAAATTCTCATTCCACAGATTGTTATGTATTACATCTATATTTCGATGCGACAACATGGGCCATGCCCTTTGAAACAGCTCTGGACAGTCTATAGGAGTGTCTGCCAGAAGCTTGTGATAACTCTGTGGCCATGTTTTTATTTTTCTTTTCCTGCCATTTTTCCATTCCATTCCTTTAAAGTCTCTTCATTGTTTCCACATTTCTCTTTCAATCACTTGACGCCTTGCCATCTTCCTTGCACTCCTTCTCCTTCGAGCTACCGCCATCCCTCCTTGTTCTTTCTGTCACCTTCTCCCCTGCACCTTGATGTAGGGCAAACTATATACCACGCGTTTTATTAGAGATGCTCATTCATTGTTGAGGCTGTGCACAGAAGTTATTCTCACTTCATTTTGTTCTATGAAACTGGTAAAGTGGGTAAACTTCTTAATGTAGATGCTACAATTTTGTAACTTCTATGATTTTCTTAAGGTAGGTGTTTAAAAAAAAGGGAAAGAATATAATTCTTTTGAAATGCGATACATGGTACAAGGCTGTGGCTTAGAGAAACCTGATGATAGCGTTATTTTATTCTTTTTTTTTTTCTTTTCAGTGTAACAGAATTCATTGTTTTTTGCACCACACCCAATGCTCCATGCAATCCGTGCCCTCTCTAATACCACCACCTGGCTCCCCCAACCTCCCACCCCCCGCCCCTTCAAAACCCTCAGATTGTTTTTCAGAGTCTATAGTCTCTCATGGTTCACCTCCCCTTCCAGTTGTGGAGATTCCTCAAGAAATTAAAAATAGAGCTTCCCTATGACCCTGCAATTACACTACTGGGTATTTACCCCAAAGATACAGATGTAGTGAAAAGAAGGTACCATCTGTACCCCAATGTTCATAGCAGCAATGGCCATGGTCGGCAAACTGTGGAAAGAACCAAGATGCCTTTCAACGGACGAATGGATAAGGAAGATGTGGTCCATAAACACTATGGAGTATTATGCCTCCATCAGAAAGGATGAATACCCAACTTTTGTAGCAACATGGACTGGACTGGAAGAGATTATGCTGAGTGAAATAAGTCAAGCAGAGAGAGTCAAGTATCATATGGTTTCACTTATTCTTTTAATTATTCAATGGAAGTTACCTAAATTGATTCGTAAGTGCTAGTCCTCAAGGTGAAAGTCTAAAAAACACGCCGGCTGAAACTTCTGAGAATGAAAGTCAGTGGATAGAACTGATTGTGATCTGAAAATACCCCATTATCTGATATGGCATCATTTTCTTTGACTGAACAGTTTTGTGGGGACATGTGTATGTGGTTGCGAGTATCCACACGTTTGTGTGTGGGAGATGGGGGCCTAAGTGTGTAACCACAGTTAGAGCACTCCTTTGGTTCTGAGATGTAAGGATTCGAAGAAATAACCCTGTGAACAAATACGAGTGTGAAATTGTTCAGTTATAATAGAATTGGAGTGGAGTTGTAAAAATACATGTGAGGTGAATTTATGGGAAGAATGAAATATTAAGTATTTGCTGATGATTGAATCCCAACCTAATCCAGAACTACTTGTCTTTGATGTGTTGTTTTTTTTTTCTAGAGTCTTACGAGAGACACTGCCACGGAAATAGCCATCAATGTGAAGGCACTTTATAATGAAACAGAATCTTTGCTAGTGGGCAGGGTCCCTTTGGTAAGGAAGAGATGACTGGTAACACAATGGTGACCCGTGTGTGGGCCTCAGCTTTGTTCATACATTCATTCCTCAGATTCTAATGCAGAGCAGCCTCCTGGCCTCCATCCTTGGGGCTTCCCTTTTACCTGGCTTTTGCCTTCCAGAAAATGCCTGGCTACCCTAGGGAGTTATGATTCGGGCTAACGGGGAGTAGAAGTCTCCTCTCACAGATGCCACCGGGTTGTCATGCAGTCCTGTTCTCCCCAGTCAGCTTTGAGAAACTTGAACCTTCTGCAGTGTATCAGGCATTCCTCAGGAGCTCATTACTTCCTAGTGGCAGAGAAGTAGGGAAATCATCGGCTTTGTTCCCGAAATTAACATTTGAAATATGACTGATGCAATTCTTAGCTTTACTGAAAGGGCAACACTTTCTAGACTTGATGTTTCAAGAACTAAATTCTTAAGAGCTAGCCTTATCTCTAGATTAACTCAGATCGGTGCTGGAAATGAAGCTTCGGGAATCTGACCACGTTCCGTGGACCTCAAGTGCTAGAAGTCCACAGATGTCCAGTTTGCTTTGCCCAGGGTCGGCCTCGTCAGCCTTTTATTCTCTCACTGGTTTCAAAAGTTCTAGAATATGGGGTCCTCTCGCCACCTAGCGTTCAACTGTGGGTTTTTCACATGCGCTGCTGTCACTGTGTAGAAAGCCTGATGCATTATGATGCATTTAGCTATTTTCCTCTTCCTTGTCACGATTCTGATGAACTGGTCCGTGATGATCTTACAACTTTCCTCTTGACTGTAGTTTTCTCTCTGGCTTTGGAAAATAGACGCCTAAATCAAAGTGGTAGTAAAAGTCATAGTATCTGGCATAGTGGGAAAATGGGAGGTGTGTCACAGTCTAGTGAATGAAGTAACTGTGCTGGGAGTTTCTGTTCAATTGGAGTCCAGAAGGGCACCATCCTTGGAGCATCTTTCATCATCTGAAAAGAGAAGCTTCAGGGATGAATGACATCCCTGGCTCTTACCCATCTCCAGAGGAAGCTGAAGAGCAACTTCCTCAGGGTAGGACGTGGCTGCCTATGCTATGGCCAGGAAGAAAACTTTCAGGAAGACACATTGGTTATCTTTTTTGATAAAACCAGTGGAATATTTTGCCAATTCTTGGCACTTCTGTTATTAACCAGAATCTTGTTGCTCTTCTAAAATTGGTCCAGTGAAATCCAGTGAGCTGTGACTTTGATCCCATTTTTTAGGTGAAGGACATGTATTTTTTGTCTTATTTGAAATATAAAAGATACATTTTACATATCTGACAACAACTAGAAACATAACTTGTTCTATATTTTAGTTCTCTCCACTGAAAGCACCTACTGTTAGTTGATTAATATTTATCAATTATATTATGTTCTTATAGAAGGACCACGCACACACTCTGAGTCATTTTGATCTACTTCTGTCATTGTCAAATATGAGTGCTTAGTTTAAAATGTATACCAGTGAATTTTTTCAAAACCTTTGACCATACTGACATCATAATACAGTGTCAATCATATTGGAGAGCAACTAAGCTTTACACTTTATTTTGCTTCTAGAATGAATATGCAATACCATGTTATCAATTTTATAAGATGTATATTCTTAGACTCAAAGGGAAGTGGTAAATTTTACATGACAAGGTGGAGAATCTCCATATTTTTCTTAACTACTAGAAATGGTAAATACCTTGAATAACCGAGGAGAAAAAAAGGACGACCATAATAAATAACAGTGACAATTTCACCGAACGTTTATTTTAAAGTTCTATGAACCTATATGTAGATGCTCGACAGTCTTAAAGTAATTTTTGAAAGGATTGGTTTGCTGGAATAGACCATAGAAATAATCTAGTCACTCTACTATTTGTTAAGGAAGAAACTAAGACTCCTACCATCGGTCAGCCTTCCCTTGGTTGCCGTCTTAGTAACAAAGCCAGGACCAGAAGGCAGTCACCTCCCTTCCTGTTCTACACGTAACAGTGTTTATTTCACCTTTACTATTGAATTTCTAAGTGCTTTTTAATAGCTGCCTCAAATAAGTGGATAATAAGTGACCGGTTAAATTCCCTTTAAAGTTTCCAAACCCTCTTTCAGATTGCAAACCATTGGGTGTTTTGCTCTTGCCCTGATTTTTACAACAGCTTTTTTGTTTGTTTGTTTGAGATTTGTGGGGGTTTTTTTCCCCTTAAACTTATTATTTTAATTCTCTGGGAGATTTCTGTGCCAAGCAGTTCTTATGATGTGACGTGTTTTTGACCGATTTTTTTTTTTTAAGATTTTATTTATTTATTTGACAGACAGAGATCACAAGTAGGCAGAGAGGCAGGCAGAGAGAGAGGAGGAAGCAGGCTCCCCGCCGAGCAGGGAGCCCGACGCGGGGCTAGATCCCAGGACCCTGGGATCACGACCCGAGTCGAAGGCAGAGGCTTTAACCCACTGAGCCACCCAGGCGCCCCGTTTTTGACCGATTTTTAAAAATAGTATTATTTGCTTACATAGCGGCCTATGGAAATCGGAAGGATTTTTGCCACAAAGAAGTAGAATAGTGAGATTACTTACTAACAAGTAGGCAGAGTGGGTGGATGGACGCATGGATTGGAAGGGAGGGAGAGAGGAAAGAATTTACAAAAAAGAAAGAAAACCACCAAAAGCAATACTTTTTTTCTGTGACATTATTGAAGTCATACTAACTACTTGTATTATCTTTGAAAAGTATGGATAAATCTATCCAGATTTTTAAAAAGTGAGCTCAATATAAAATAATCTGTTCTTTCTTTCCCATATTCCTTTTTTCTTTTTTTTTTTAAAGATTTTATATATTTATTTGACAGAGAGAGAGAGCGCACAAGTAGGCAGAGCAGCAGACAGAGGGAGAGGGAGAAGCAGACTCCCTGCTGAGCAGGGAGCCCCATGCAGGGCTAGATCGCAGAACCCTGGGATCATGACCTAAGCTGAAGGCAGTTGCTTAACTGACTGAGCCACACAGGCGCCCCTCTATATTCCTTTATCTTACTAACAGTAACCTAGACTAGCCTCATAAGAGATGAGGATGTTCGTTGTCAAAATAAAATGAATTTCTTCGGTTTGAGATTGGTCACTGAGCCTTGTTTTATTTTGTTTTTTAAAATCTGCTGGTAAACAGCAGTTAGAATCCCCACATGAGGAGCGCGTTTCTAATGCCTTACATTCCGTGGAGGTGGAGCTGCAGAAGTTAACGGAGATTCCGTGGCTTTACTATATCTTACACCCAAACGAAGACGCGGTATGTGAAATGTGGCCCACTTCTCTATAAATGCAGACTTTGTGACAATAGAATTTGAAAAAGAGATATTCAAGGGAGAATAAATTTCGAGCACCACTTTCAAATGTGCTGCTCTTGAACAGGTGAGCAAAGGCTTTTCCGTGAACAAAGTGTCTCACGGGCATCAGTCCATTTTCAGGAGTATGTAGCATCATGCTCTCCAATTTTTAACAAGTCCCCACTCCAACAGTGTGTTGTGTTCATAATCTATTCCTGCGCTGGCTTTAAGAACGGAATGAGGTTTCCTTCTCTTCACGTCCTGAGCAAATTCCTTTCTTGCCCCACTCGAACAGGAGCCCCCCATGGATTGCACCAAGAGAAACAGCAGAAGCACAGTCTTTCGGATCGTGCCAAAGTTTAAAAAGGAAAAGGTTCAGAAGCAGAAGACAAGTTCACAGCCTGGTAGGTGATCCGCACTGGAAGGGAAAGTATAACCCTGTGCAAAAGATAACTTATTAAAGCCATGTCACCGAGGTGATAAAAATGTTCTGGAATTATTTGTGGTGACCCCTGCACATTATGGAGGTACTAAATGCCACTGGATTGTATACCATAGGATGGTTAGAATGGTAAATTTTATTTTATGTTCATTTTCCCACAATAAAGCAAATCCTGTCACACCTAAAGTAATCCACCCAAACGGTAGGGGTCTATAACAATGAAGTACACAAGAAAACAAGGTGGGCGCTGGTTTGCTTCTACTCTGTTCAGTGGACATCCATGCATCTGTTGAGACGGTCCTTTGTCTCTCGTAACATCGGTGTATAATTTCTTTTTCTCCTTCAGAGTTCAAAGTCTACATCCCTTTGATAAAAGGAATGTAGAAACTTTCAGTTACTCCTTTAACTTGCTAAATGGACTTTTCCACCTAAAGTTACGCATTGTCTTTCTCCTGTTCCAAAGACTTACTGCACCATTTCCACCCCTAAGTCATGACAGTCTACAGTGCACTTGCATTCTCAAGCAAAGATTAAACTGCCTTTGGTGTTTTTTGTCTGGTTCCCTTTCCCCCTTGCCCTAGAAATTACTTTTAATGCGAGAGTGTTGCCGAAGCACCTGCAAGTTCTGTGTACATGGCGACAGGTGCCTTTCACAATCCAGTCACTTTATTATCCTTCCAAGTGAGCTAGCTCCTTTGAAAAAGTGATCTATGACCTAATTTTTGACAATTGTAGAGCAGCTGTTGAAGGGCATTTTAAAATCAAATATGGCATTTTATTATTTTTTTTAAAGATTTTATTTATTTCTTTGTCAGAGAGAGAGCACAAGCCGGGGGAGCGGCAGGCAGAGGGAGTAGTAGGCTCCCTGCTGAGCAAGGAGCCCAGTGTGGGACTGAATCCCAGGACCCTGAGATCATGACCTGAGCTGAAGGCAGAGGCTTAACCGACTAAGCCACCCAGGCATCCCCAAATACAGCATTTTACAACCAAATAAATTTGAATTAAGCTAATCAATGTTGAATAAAATTTATAAAACGATGATACATATTGAAAAATAACAGTCCAACTCCTCTTAGCAGTATTGACAGTTTCCAGAGGACCTTAAAGTGAGCTAACAACACATTTAGTGCTATCCTTGTTAATTATTAAAATCAATGAAGTCATCACTTGAATTCAGCCACACCTGGAGTAAAATTCAGGAGCCCATGTCAAATTTTCTTTTCTTTTTTTTTTAAGATTTTATTTATTTATTTGACAGAGAGATCACAAGCAGGCAGAGAGGCAGGCAGAGAGAGAGGAGGAAGCAGGTTCCCTGCTGAGCAGAGAGCCCCACACGGGGCTCGATCCCAGGACCCTGAGATCATGACCCGAGCTGAAGGCAGTGGCCTAACCCACTGAGCCACCCAGGCGCCCCAGATTTTCAATTTTCATTAGCACTTGTAGCTAATTCAATTATAACTGGTTTCATATGCGGTCTTAAGGAAATCATCAGAGTGTATTTGGATCACGGACTGTCGATCCTAATCACGAGAAGTACATATTTTATTTGGATTGTGTGGTGTGGGTGGCTTGGAGAGGAAATTGAGCTGAAGGTAAAGGCACCCGTGCACATCAGTGAATGTCTCTGCATAGTCAGATCTCTGTGTGGATGGAGAGTCTGTAACCTGCATGGGGGAAAAAGTGAAATTGGGGTTTCGTGGAAACGACACCTTTAACCTTTCCCTCTGCTAGCACTGCCGCTGTACTCTGTTTTGCATCTTCTTTGGCCAACCTTTGCTTTGTAATGCATTGAGCATGTAGAAATTACGGGGGTTTTGCTCTTAACTTTGGTAGTTCAAAAATGGGGCACAGAGGAAGTTGCTGCTTGGCTGGAGCTGCTCAATTTGGGAGAGTACAGAGAAATCTTCATTCGTCATGACATCAGAGGGGCTGAACTTTTGCATCTGGAAAGGCGAGATCTTAAGGTATTTCCTTTGTGCTACTCTTCTGCTTTTGAAAATTTCCCTGCAAAACAGAATGCTCTCTCCTGCGCCTCTTTTGTTATATGCTTATAGCTTGGCTTATGTCCTGTGTCCTGCAAACGGGCAGTAATCTAATATGCATTGTCCTGTGGTCGGAGTTCCTTGTGTGCTTTTTAAACAAGAATGTCAGCAGTGTTGCCCGATCAAGTATCGTTCTCTGATTATTACAGCTAAAGCTTAGCATGAAGTTAATAATTTTTTTCTCTGCATCCATTGGTATGGCTATTCCTGTGCTAATATTTCCAAATAACCCATGTTTCCATCAGCTCATTTTATTGGATCAGCATGAAAGGTGATCACTGTTGCTGAAAATGACCAAAAAAACTAATAAAAGGTTAACCACTAAAAATTAATTCAAAATACCAATAACAAAGTTTTCCTAATATGTGGAACTGGGTAAGAAACTCACAGCAGTGGCAATTGAGAGTCCTGTGAATTTGTTGTGTTTCTGACTGCCCTTTCAGAGCTCACATGAAAAACGAGACCGATAAGTTCAAATACACTCCCTGTGAGTTAGTTATGATTGTATTATTCTCAAAAAGAAATGTATTATTTTCTTTAGTAAATGAAGTAAAAATCACGCTTCACTTTTGCTAGAAGGTGGCAGAGAGCCAATTTGTCATTTACTGCGGAGAAAGAAAATCATTAATTCACGGTCTGCAGCAATTCCCTTTTATTTTCTTGGGTGGACACACAACATGGCCAAAGTAGACTATTCTATCCCAAGGTTCCGAGTAGAATTTTGTCATGTTGAATTTTCTTACCAAACAGTGCCACTTTTAAAATTCCAAGATTGAGTAATAAGCAAGTGACAAAGTCTTTAACCTATGTTGGAGTGATCCCTTTCCTGTAGGCCAAGTTCTGAACTGCACAGGATTAGGATACAGTGATTTCCTAACAAATTCATGAACTGTTGGTGCCTTTATCTATAAATACGCGAGCAGAGATCTTAGAGCAATTAGTGAGTAATATATAGGATTTTATAAAGCAGAGTCATACAGTCTTAGCATATTAAAAGCGGACACCACATCTACCTAAACACTTTTAACCAGAATAATAAAATAATAGATTAATTAATAACCCCAGTTGAGAGTCCCAAATCTGGAAAATAGAAAAATATACAGGGCTAGAGTTCCTAGAGTAGAGGTTGACTTCAAAACTTGGAGTGAGTGCATTAAAAAAAAATAAAAGAAATGTAAGGGGTCATTACATCTAATATATTTATGTAGCATCTTATATCCTTGTCAGGCAGCTACTGAATAGCTATCTTGAATTTATTGAATAGCTACTGATTGATATATTACGCCAGCCTCTCTAGGAGCTTACATTTAATTTGCCACAAATAAGCATAAATTCCAGGGAAAGACTGAATGTGTGTGAGAATAAATAATTATATATGTATATATTACATATGGACACACAACCATAAACATACACATAACACGCACACATACACAATGAGTACGGCAGTAAGGCAGATATTCGCAGGTTGGAAAAACAAAGCTCATATACATAGGAGGTCAAAGTTGGAGTGATAGGACTTGGCTGGAGGAAAGAGTATGAGTAAAAAGGAAATGGGTAAGAATTATTTTTGTAAACTTTCTCTTTTTAGCTTTATCATGGGACTTCTTGTTCTGCTTTATTTTTACTTTTAATGCAAATTACATCCCTTACCTTAAAACTTTTCTTTTAGAAATTTGCATTGACATAGTCCTTTTTAACTCTTTTCCTTCCAAAATGGGGCTTGGGAGAATGAAAAAAAATAATTATCTGGAAAGAGCCTGCTATAGAGCAAAGCCGTGAGGGGAGCAAATGAGCTTCCCCTTGACCTCTGGCTGTAGCTGTAAGAGGGAGCAGACTCTTCGGAATGAACTCTTTAAGTCTTACTAGAGGATCTCTGACTCCCTATGTAACCTTATCCATTCCCATTGCTGCAAATATGGTCCATGAATACGTCCGTGGTTCACAGGTTTGTACCCCGAGGCCTGACCTCAATTTGGAAGCTTTAGGATTTTATCACCAACTCCACTTGATAGTTGCCTGTCACACAGGGAGGGTTCTGCAGATATCTTAGTAAAATCACCCCTCTCTCCCTCCAGGCTCTCGAGCGGGAGAAGCCCACGGTCATACTCAGCGCCTTCCTCTTCCTTATCCTTGTCTCCTAACTCAGTAAGCCTAGCACAGAGCCAGGTTTCTAGACTGCATCCGTTTCTCTCTCGGCCTTCCACACTCCTACTGCGTGCCAGGGCACCGCTTGCCTGTGTGAGGCCGGGGTTCCTAACTGGACTTTCTGCTGCTACCCACGCTCTCTTTAGCCCATTACCCACACGACAGCCAGAGTGATCTCTTAACGTCAGATCACCTTTCCCACTTTTACTGGAATAAAGACTTGCATCTTTGGGAGGTCTACATGAGACTGCCCATTTATGGAAACTGCTGTGGAATCACTGGCCCCTTGCTGGGCTGTACCCCATCCACACTGGCCATGTTCCATTTCCCTGAAAATACTAGACTCTTTCTCACCTTTAGAGGTCCCCCCTGCTACGGCATGTGTCTCCCACTACCCGTCACCTGGCTATCTCCTGCTCACATCTTGGCTGTTACTTTCTTATCAGCAAGACAACTAGAGGTAGCAATGTAACAGTGTAAAGGTGGGAAAGGAAAAATATTTCTAAAGTGCTTTAGGAAATAAAGAAACTTACTGTATTATTCTCCCTCCAGGAAGACAGTAGCCAAAAGTGAGGGGCACCAAAGACAATGGCAAAGATGCAATGGATTTGTTTGTGTGGTTGGTTTTTGTTTTTCTTTCCATTTGGAAAGTTGCATATCTGTGCCTGGAAAGGTAGCTGAATATCTACAAAGCATGTTTCTGCAAAATTAGACCTGTTCATCCAAAGAAAGAAAAGGTGCATAATAAAGAATCTGATAAAAATAAATTAAGAAAACTATAGCAGATGTTACGGCCGTAACTTTATCACATTCTAACTCCTAGAAGTCATGAAGGTATTGAACTGAAGATAAAAAAAATATAGCTAGACGTTAGTGTAATTCTGTGGAAAACATTCATCTCATTACACCAAAATGGTAATTCTGAGTAGAGTCTCCTTCCCGCAAAGAAGTTTTTTATTCTTGAAAATAAAACGTGCATATGGCCTGAAGTAGAATATTCAGTATTAAATGTATTTCTTCATCAGATAATTGTTATCACAAAGCAGAAAGAGTATTAAAATATCCCACTCAAATAAATGCAACCGCAAATGCATTTATATTTCAGAGTTAGGTAGCAGGCCGCCGGCTCACTTTCTTTAGGATTTGGCCTTGCTTTTAAGTTCGCTATGTTAGCATACACTCAGGAAACACACAGTTCCTTGCCTTCAGACTGATTATGAATGACCTGGTGTCCTATGAGAAAATACTTTTTCAGGATCAGTTGCATATTGTAAAGATGTGACCCAGAAATTATCTCAAGCTTGACAGGAGCACTTGCTATATAGAAAGAGTATTTTTCAGAAAGATTCAAAATTGTCAGTAGAAAAAAAGAATTGTCAGTAGCTTCACTGCTATAGAATCAAAGAGCTCATAAAGTATATGGAAGAGAGAGAGAATGGGGGTGTGCACATGCTTACAATCGTCTCATCTATTTCATGTAAAGCTTAAAAATAAATAATGCTTGGGGTGCCTGGGTGGCTCAGTGGGTTAAGCCTCTGCCTTTGGCTCAGGTCATGATAGGGTCCTGGGATAGAGCCCCGCATTGGGCTCTCTGCTCGGCAGGGAGCCTGCCTCCCCTTCTCTCTCTGCCTGCCTCTCTGCCTACTTGTGATCTCTCTCTCTCTGTCAAATAAAGAAATAAATCCTTTAAAAAAAAATAATGCTCTTAGCTTATGAAGTAGGACGGATATTCGGAATCTTTATCATCTCAGACACATAATTTTGTGGTACCTCGTAATCTTGTTTTCGAGGCTGCTTTGGAAGCCACCTTTTTGCTAATTTTATTTTTTTTTAAGAATTTATTTGAGAGAGAGAGAGCATGAGAGGGGAGAGGTCAAAAGGAGAAGCTGACTCCCCGCTGAGCAGAGATTCCCAATGCAGGACTCGATCCTGGGACTCCAGGAGCATGACCTGAGCTAAAGTCAGTTGCTTAACCAAATAAGCCACCCACGTGTCCCTTTTTGCTAATTTTCAAATATTTCAAGCCCTCTGTTTTTTATACCAAATTGGTTTGACTTCATGTATTGGCCAATCAGTTGTGCCCGTTAACCTTAAAGAAACTTTAGGGCTCGGAGGCCTTCACCCTTTCTTTTAGTTTAATGGATCGTGAATATCACGGCTGTCTTGTATGCGTCTCCTTCATTCCCTCAGCAAGGATTTATTTGCCGAGAGCGTGCTGTGCGCTGTACATTCTGGAATCATCCTCCCTCTCTGAAAACTAACTATTGAATTCTTGGCCCTTTAAAGGAAGACAGTTCTGTAAGAAACAAGGAGGGTTCTGAGGGAAAGGAGCCACAAGTGTTCTGAGGAAAAGCATCAACCCACAGTTAGCCAGGTTGAAGTAATTTCTTATACTTTTGTCTCGCAAAGTAGAAAGAATAAACAGTCCACTCAAATCAAAGACTCTAAATGTAACCATAGATGCACTGACATTCCAAATTTAGGTGATGGCCCCTGATCTCTGTCTTTAGCATTAGGCTTTACTTTTAAGTACTATTTTAGGAAGAAAGTGTGTGGTTGCCGTAAGACTAGTTGCAGCGGCCCTGATGTCTTCTGTCACTGTTCTCTGAGATCCCAAAAGGACCTGTGTTTTGAAAAAGAAGAAGCAGAAGAAAAAGGAGACCCTAATTTTGACTCAGAAGAACCACCATTGTGTATAATTTCTGAGACTGTTACATTTCAGAGTTAGTGTAGGATGTGATTTTTTTTTTAACTTGTTGATAATTTTTCAATGTCAGGTTAGTTTCGCTTTATAAACTGATTTTCATAGCTTATACTTCCTAAGTCATTGAATATAAACTGAATGCTAATTACACTATTTGCTAATGAAATATTTAATCTCCAGTTTTCTCTTGTCAGTAAACGTCTTTCTTTTCCTTCTCCTTTTTTTTTTTTTCTTACCTTTTCTTTTTTTTTTCTTTTTCTTTTCTTTTTTTTAGGACCTGGGGATAGCGAAAGTGGGTCATATGAAGCGAATTCTCCAGGGAATTAAAGAGCTTGGAAGGAGCCCTCCCCAGGCTGAGTTGTAATCATACTGGTGCTATTCCTTGGAAGGGAAGTTATTGCTACTTAATACAAAGCTCTTAGAAGCAATGGTCTATTTCTGTACTTTTCTGCCTAGAAAGCAAGTACCAGGGAAGCACCTCTATGGCTTGATATCTTGCTGTGGGTGAAAATTTTCATTTGAGGTATTAGGAAATATTTTTGTGCCAAAAAAAAAAATACATTCCACAAAGCCATTTACCTATTGTGCAAACTTGACGTGTTCAGATATGCTCATATTAGTAAGAAGGTAGGAAGAATCCGAGATAATTGCACTGTCTGAAAGGTGGAAACGTTTACTTACATTGTACTTTCCTGAAACTTGGTCAGATGGAATGATCTTCCCATATGACTGCATAACAATATGTGGCTAAAACTTCTAGGTTTCGTTATTGGAGGCATTGGCTTCTTCCTTAAAAATCACTGGTTAGGAGACTAAGATATACATTAGTTTGTGTTTTGAATGCTAGATTGGGTGTCAGCTGAGATTCCTAGCATTCAGTCGTCAGGGAACATGGTTGAAACCCCTCAAATATTATGAATGAATGCAGATCTTAATGCACGACATTCCTGCCTGAATGGTCTTTCTTTTTCTTGCATGTCATATGTAATATCGTAAAACTTAGCTTTAATGTCAGCTTTAATGGAATTTAATTTATTACTACCGAAGTTACCTTTTTGTTGGTTCAAGGCACTTTTCTGTTCTTTGATGGGGGATTTTGGATAAATATTCTGTATTTAAGAATTTGTGAACATGTGTCTGTGCCATAATCAACAAATAATACACATTTTATGCAAGCCAATTCAATGTCACTCTATCATCAACAGTAGACATGCGCATTAAGAAACTCTCTGGATATTTTTGTAAAATTACATGTTCTGTTGCTGAACTAAAAGCTTATTATAGCTTCCTAAACCAAAATTCCCACATTTTGTTTTTTTTTTGTTTAATTTAGTATTTATTTAATACTCTGTTTGCATTTATAATATAGTGAGCTATTGACATCCAGGAGTTTCCCCAAGGCCTCAACTGGGATTCATATACTGATTGATCACCCAGACTTACCCGCTAGCTAGAGTAACTACTGATAAAACTTCTCAATGAGAGATTTAAATTTTTAAATTTTTTCTTAACGGCTTTATATTATTATTATTATTATTATTATATTATTATTATTATCTCACTTAATTCTTATATCAAGTAGATATCATTTTCCTTTTCCTAAACCACTATACTTCAGTGTAAGCTTATTAGGAGTCAACATTACAATTACCAAATCTTTGAAAGCCAAAGGCATACATGTCAAAAAGTCATAAAAATATCCTTAAACAATCTTTCTTTAAACATTATATACCAAAAATTAATTGTAATATTTAAAAATCTTCTATATAAGAGAAGAAAACAGGGTATTGACCCGGTGGTGACAATTTTCATGAAGTAGCCTTCTAAGTAGGTGCTCAATAGAAAAACATACACACACATGTACATATACGTTTCTACATGTCTATACACACATGCATGTACATTCACACTTACATATGCATCATCTTGAAATATACTCTCATTGATATTTTCTGGACAATTATTTGTCAAATGCCTAATGAGAAATATTAGTGAGAAAGCATTTAAAATGAACACTGTCAGACATAAAATTTCATTATAGCAAAGGAGTTTAAATATTTGACACTTTAGTCTTATTTATAAATTGGGCATTTAAGTACCAGTAAAATCACAAAATTTTGATATCTTAAAAATAAATGAGCCTGGTGGGTTCCTGACCAAATGTGTCTGACTATATGTTTTACCTAAGTTGTGAATAAATGGAAATTTCCCAAAGGGAATTACATCAAGTAGCGTGAAAGAGTCAGAAGCTACTCATTTAATATTATAATGTTACCCACACTTAGGAAATCAAAGGGCTTCTTTTATAGTCCTCACCTCTCCAGCCCCTGAAGATATCCTGCTTTTCCAGGCATTTCCCTATGAAAATAAAATGGAGATGCCAGCTGTCAGATCACAGATCCCTATCCAGCTCTACCAAAAAAAGAAAGGTAGGGGCAAAGAGGCAAGGAACTCTAGAGAAGAATTAATTAATATAAAAATCTTTACAGATTTTCATTCGCCCAAAATACCCCTTTGCCACTAGAAAAGATTTAAACTATTACGCGTTCGGAATTTGAGAGTAAGATGAAGATAATTAAATTTTTTGTTTGATGCTGATCTTTTTACTCATAGGTAGTAACTCTTATCTATGCTGTAAAACCTAATTAATGGACTCTTTAGTTAACTAGAATTTTCTTGCAGATGGCTTTTGGATGAGGGAAATCCTTTAAAATGACAATTTTGGTATCTTTTTTGTTGTTGTTAAATAAGAGCAATTGTTCCTGTATGCTTTGTCTGTGCATGATGGATGTAGGACCCAGATGACCTTATTCACATCTGTTGGCCAAGATGGTGTCCTCAGAGCCTCCCTAGGTGCCCATTAGCATCAAAGAGGAGCCAGCTTATAGTAGATGGGGCTACGAATAAAAAGTAGGAAGAACTGCTCTCTGGAATCTGATCACAGCTCAGGGGAGTGCAGGTGGGACCTCTGTACCTTGATCCATTCGTAAGCTGAGCTGAGAAGCTTAGCCCTGCTCCCAGTTGCCAGCTGTAACTGCACGTTCCGCTGCTAGGCTCTCCCACACCTGGATAATTTGGGAGGGATGAAGGGGAATCACAGCCCAGCCAACATCCACTCCCTTACAGTCTTATTTTCCTGAGGAAGAATTTGAGACAGATATATGTGTGTGTGTGTGTGTGTGTGTGTGTGTGTGTGTGTGTGTGTGTGTGTGTATTTTTTT